TGATTAGAGCCGAGTGACTCTCTATGTGACTCTTTGAGCCGAGAGCTGATTGGCTGAGTGAGGATGGTCCTTTTTCCGTCTTAAAAAGTTCTTTAGATGTGTCAAAATGTGAGGCCAAAAGTACAACTATAGCTACGGGTATAAGGATTTTCACATTGATCACATTGAATATAAATCTGAATAATTTTGCTCTAGAGACCGAACCGTTATGCCCTTATTGTGTCGCTCTCATTCAAACAGACTGATCTAAAACCATAGATACAGGTTCAGACTGAATGCAGGCACATCACTTTACACTGGGGGCTTTGCAGTTAAGGAAGTGAAACCTTAAACCAATTAGAACCACTCTCCCAATATCACATGACAGGAACACCAGCTTTGGAATGACTACTCTTGGATTTCTCTATAATTATTGGGATTAACCGGTTTGGAAAAGAGCAGGGATTCAGGACGGCACATGTTAAGTGTTACGGGAACGAAGGCTTGACGGTGTTTTGTTTATATTCGTGTTGATAATGGAAATATATTCTTCAGAAAATTCTTCAGAAAGTGCTAAAACTCAATTGTGGGTTTTGCAGTAACACAAGCCAAGCCAAAAGACAAGTCCTGGCATCCTGGCGTCCCGGGTATAGCTCTCATGAACAGCCAGTTGGAGGTTTTTTTCAGTAGCTATTAAAATAAGCTCCCCGTAAACTAACTAACAATAAGACATTAAGTCGTCGTCTCCTACAAAAAGGGGAGGTCTGAGGCATGTTTGTCTCAGTGGTACCAGATTTCCAGAAGGGACCATCCCAGTGGTAACTGGCCGCTACCACACTTGGCTTGGATCAGATGAAAGAAATGTTTTAATGACAAAGAGGTAAATGGATAGAGTAACATGGATATTAACTGGTAAACTTTCCAAACAATTAATGTGTCTAGTTTGACGGCTAAAGACTCAAATAGAAATGAGTTCATTCAATTCGGGCGTTCTGCTCTCCCAAAATTCCATCCGATGGGCGGGGGAGCGACTGAATTTTGCGTTGCATTATGGGTAACACTTGCCTTCGCAACTTCCGGTTCTCTCTGCCCGGCGCATTTTCTCTAAATGGTTGAGTGTTTTCGTCATTTTCTGTATGCAAATACATTCCCGTCTCTAACTAGTGGCATATCGCGCAAATCATCCGTCCAATTCACATTCTTCCCTCTTAGCTGAACTTCATTCTCATTGTTACCATCTGTCACTCGCACACACAGCCGTTTTCGTTCACTCTGCTCGCTGTCATCTTCTTCTAAATCTTCATAAACACCATCCGCTCGTTGAACTAGCAACAACAATTCCTCCTTTCGTTTTCCCACACTGCAAATACCCTTTCGCTTCAACCTTTCACGCAATTCAGGCACTGTCAATCGCTTGTTGTTTTCGTGAGCCATATTCGCCATTGTATGAAATCAACCGGAAGTGAACTGGGCAACAAACGGTGTCATTTTTTGATCACAGCGCCGCTCAGTGGATGGAATTTTGGGAGAGCAGAACGCCCGAATTTCAACGTCGTTATCTCGGAGAACTGTTGAATTAGCCAACGCAGATCAGAGACTCAAACAGTTCAATGCAAGAAATGCATCTGTAAAAACACATAGAGCCACTGGTTCAGACCAATGTCCATAAATGATGATAATTGTCCATAAATGTTGTTTAATGTTGCATTTTAAAGGAAAGGATGGAAGAATTATTTTCTGTCGCTTTATCTATTGATTCAAAACGTATCATCTAGAACAGTTGGTGTGATCAATGTCTCAAAATGTGCGGTGTTCAATATTTTATTTTTTTAAAGATCTGTTCTAGCTACAGTAAGGACTTTTTCTGCAGGAAGAAGATCACAGATGGACAGAAGAGACTATAAAAACACTCAGTAACGTGGATGTGTTTGAGAACCTTTCTAGCAGGTGGTTTAGTTTATACTTCTCCTCCTATACTTTTAATGTATAGGCTGAGGCTTAATTGTCTCCAGTGGCACCTTTAACATCATTATGACATAAAAAATAGTTTGCTTATTTGTGACGGCTGCATTATATCAAGTTAAGTTATTTATTCTGTGCTGAATCAGGTTTAAACGACGTAGATCATTTCCTGCTGTCAGTTATCCATACTGACCTTCAATAAAAAAATACATTGAAATCAGATGTCCCATAGCTGCCCTGTATAACTGCAGAACAAAAATAAAACATATAGGACAACATTTCCCAAAAAAGGTTAAATAAATTAGACATAAATGTTTTCCAAGATCTATCCTTCAATTTCAATCTTAATGACAACCTTAGATGAAAAACAATTTTAATTGTAATTTCGCAAATTGTGTTCAAAGTTAAATTGTGAGGTAGGCCAATATAGATTTATCCTTTTGAGTCAACAAGGCCCTCCAAAGACAGATGTTGAATAGACTCGCTAATAGTTTAGTTGATATTCTGTGGAAATGTCTGTCAAACAACTGAAAAATGCTCAATGATTGCACCAACTTTATGACATCGATGTGTTTTTCGCTATATCAGAGGCTGTATATTCTGAAAGGAAAAAGTAAGAATTTTTGTAAAAGTTAGTAAATTCTGCAGTCAATGGCTGAGAAATGGGAAGAGAGCCAAGAATTTTTGTGATGACAGTCGCTAATGCACGACCTAATAATATATCACATACTCTATATCATATGTCAATGCAGAATACGTCTGTCCCTTTGCATTGACCTACATCCGCCGCAGACACGGACCACTGTGAAAGCCTACAGCGCACATGTACCCACTCTCCTCTGGTTCCTGGAGCAGCTAAGTCTCCACAGTAGATTTATTGCGCCACCACCGTCCTGTGATGTCATCATTGCCCCGGCTACAACTGCACGGCCTAAAGACTTTAGATCACCCCAGACATCCAGCGATTTTAACAGGTGCTATGGGCGCTGCTTAAGTGAAGGGGGCTATTCTGGGAGGAGGAGTAGGTTGAGATGGGCATGTTTTTTGGATTCTGAGTCACTGCAGGGCAACTGGAAACTTTTAATAGCACAATTCATCCTCTGAAATTAATCCTCCTCAAAAATCAGCGTTTACACAGCAACTTCACAGAATTGACTATGAGTATTCTAAAGATATAGTGACTTTTCAGGTTAAAACATACTGTTGTTGCTGTTAAACCCCACTTTGTATGTGGAAGCAAAGAAACTGTGAAACCTGAACCTAAAAATGTTTCACGATTGAACTTAATATTTATTTAATGAGATCACGCCTTAAATCACTTACAACGCACCCTCCGTCGTATTCTGATAAAAAATTTCAGACATACCGAACACAACGATTTTATCTTTTCATCTCAAAAAAAGTTGTTTTCACACATTTTTGTCAGAATAATATTTTGCTCAAGTAGGCCTATGCATTTATTTATACATTTATTTTTGCTCAAGTAGGCATGAGGGATTTTATCTTTAATCGTTTTAATGTACTGTGATTATTGATGATTTTAATGTCTTGTGAGATTGTGTTATTATTATGTCTTATTTTGTTCAGCACTTTGAGTTGCCTTGTGTATGAATTGTGCGATACAAATAAACTTGCCTTGCTTTGATTATAAATGGGTAGTATATCCAAGAAATAAAAATGATGTTGCTCAAATGAAGACAGAGAGCTCTACAGTGAAGTGCAGCCTGGTTTGTTTACAGGTGTCAGATCAAATAATCAATGTCATAGAACGGAGGCTTTCGACTGCTAGGACCCGTTTCCCGTCAAAATAAGAGAAGCTTCTGTCTGAAAACACACATGATCATATTCATAAGGTGCATGAATGAATAATAAATTAGAAGAAAATGGCTCCCAGGCGGGTAAAGCCACATGAGGTGTTACAATATGCAATACCAGAGTAATCCCTGTGAAAAGCAAGATACATTTTTCATTCACCAAACCATCAATCAATAATCAGGCCCAAATAGTGACGGTAAGTGGACAAAATGGAGGAACTGAACTGGTATTGCATATTGGTGCTGATCCTGGTCATCAGTTAAGTTTTGGGGCTTTCAAGTGATGTAATAATGCAACGATTTACTGGTGGATATTTGTCATCCAGAATGTCATGTCAGAGTTTTAAAGCTGTGGTACCTAACTTTCTTTTGTCATTTTGGTCGTGACAGAAAGAGAGAGAACAGATTGTGAGGAAATCAGACTACAACTACTATTTTTATCTTTTGCACATTTGTAGGAATGAGCTTTGCGAGGCACTAATTAGCACTTTGGGGAAACGTGCTGATTGGCTGAGTGAAGGTGGTCCTCTACTTTTGATTTTGTCTGAAAAAAATCAAACAATGTGATGAGGCGAAACAAGTTTTATGTGAAAACGAGTGACTGTTTTGAGAGCTGGGAACTAGTTAGAGTGAATCTATTGGTTATTTTGTGTGGTTTGAAAGTTAGGTGCAGCAGCTTTAACTTTTACTTGTTCGTCTGTTGCTATTTTCAGGATAAATGCATCCCAATAAAACAAATGAACATATTTTGCAATAAGTTGTTAGTAGTTTAGGGGAAGTTATAAGCTCAATACATTAATCCTACTTGGTTTTAAAATGAAAGGATTTTATGTTGATCAATCTCATTGCATTATGCCTTTTTGATCTATGTGTGTTTTTTATTTTTTATTTTTTAAATCGTTCTAGTGAAGCACTTTGAATTCCAATGTAAACGAATTGTGCTATACAAATAAATGACTTATTGAATTGATTTATTGAACGTTCTTTCCAGTACCTTCCCTGCTCTCAGGCATGAAGCATCATCAAAGAACATGTTATAGCCAAAAAGTATAGGCAATAAAGGCTGTATAACAAATGCAATTGGTGAGGCTGTTCTTTTTCAGGTTCAATCAGGGCTTTCAGTGTTATTACAAAGACATTACACAATAAGACATACTGTGTATGTATAATACATACTTAGCTGTGCATGACATAGCTAATATCAGTTAAAGTTATAGTTCATTTCCAGAAACAAGCATTATTTACCCATTTTCTTCACGGGGTCCACTGGTTTGGCGACCACTTTGCTCTTCTGCTCTTTTGCACTGCTGGCCTGCTGTGATTTACCGCTTCCCAACATCGCTGAAATTGACTTCGGGTCCAAAGCAGCGAAAAACAACCAAACTTCTCTGCAAACTGGCTATAATAAGACTTTGCAAGGTAAACGCTCCAGACTGCAGGTGTCCGTGCGCTGCGCCTGGACCCGGAGGACATGCATACAAACCCAGCGCAACAGTTGAGGCCAGTTCAGTGCGAAACTTTCGGGTCCACATGTCCCGCAAGTCCCTCCTCTTCCATCCAGGACAGGCCCACTCCATAACTGCGCGTAACAGGAGTCCATCTGCTGCACATTTTACGCACGACCCCGCCACCCTCCCTTTGCACTTGCACAGATTTTACATAAGCAAACAAGATGCACTTAAGCCACGCTCCAAACCTGCATACAACTCTGGATTTAAGGAATTCAAGTTTCTTCTCATAAATGGAAAACGAACTAACAGTTTTCAGTAAGGAGCTCAAATCAGAATTACAAATATGTAACTTGTAATATCTGCAGTAAAAGTTGAATTTAGTTTATGTCTAAAGAGCGCAAAATGTTCAAAACGAAGGAGTTGTCTATCGAAAACAAAGTTGGCACTGAACTCAGGAAATGGGAATGGACACGCACAAACAACGCACAAGCAGCTATTGCAAATCAATAATGACGCAGCGCCCTCTGGTGTCCAAACTTGACACTGCAACAACCCCCCCAAAACAACAAACTATTATGTGCAGTGTGCTCAGACAGTAATAGCATGTTGTTGCATAAATGATGCTTTCAGATGGTTGGCATGGCTTCAAACAAGGACCTGCAGGGACTATTAATTTAGTCTATATTTTCAGTTGGCCTATAAGCAGTGTAGGCATACTTTCAGGAGAATAGTGGGGGTTTATAGGCCTGGCCCATGGGCGTATTGGCCTGGCACCAGTCATGGCAATGAAAGCAAAACATGTTCACTGAGGTAAATCAAGATGTGTTTAGTGTCAAGAATGGTTATTGGACTGGGCTGCAACCTATTTATTTATAGCTCATATGCAATTGTTGTATTATAACAGGATTGTGTGGATGTTTACTCGATCACTTGATTTTTAAAGGGACCACTAGTAGAATCCATAATTTATATCTTTCATCTACACTCAACTGCAGTAATAACCATGCTAGACAGAAAGAGAGAGAGAGAGATTAAGTCATGCCTGCTAATCCTCACAAGCTGATCTATGCAGGGCTGCACCTCTCCTTCATTTGAGAGTACCTCATGATTTCCCAATACCCGTGGCCATTGCGTTTCACATTATAGCTCCAACATACGAATGACTTCTTCCTCAAAGGACTCCCAGCTGAGCCTGCTTATTTGCAAGGGCTGAAACTCTGGCGTCTGATTCTATTAGTGGCGACAGTAGGCCAGTGTTGTTGTGAGTTATTGGATATCCCCACTTTCAACGCAGATACACAGAAGATGCCAGTCCAAACAAAAAGAGATCACACGCTAAAGACTCACACAATAATAATTACTAAAGGTGATTACATGTGCTCTGCCAACAAACATACCCTAAATCCATATGCATGTAAAGAAAGCACTCACAAAAAAAAAAACAATATTTAGACCTTGCAGTCAATTTTAATGTTTTGTAAGCTTGATAATGTGTAGCCTACATTTGAATATGCCTCAGATTTATTGTGGTTTGCATAAAAGCGTTCAGATAGTCACATAATAATCAATCCATGGCAGGATGTTCGAGGTGGTATAAATGTGAAGTCATAATAAAGACATTAATGGCAAGCCTAGTAACCTACTAACAAATACAATCTCCATTGCTTCCTTGCATGGCGTGGAACCGTCTATCAACTGGAACAAAAAACCTTGACGCGATGGATTTGTTAGATCCGCAAGCCACCCGTCATACTTTGAGGCCGTCATAACAGATATAAATGTAACTGTGGTTATATATACACGTACACGTCGTGAAAAAAATAGACAAAAGAATTACTGGTTCATAGGCGGAGTCCTCAATAGTAACACTATGATGCAGGAAATAGACGGACACCAATGCAAACAGACAGGCCTAGTTAGCAAAGTTACCCTTGTCGCTTTATCTTTGCTTTACTAACAGCGTTACGTTGACAAGCCATACGATTAATATTTAGGCAATTCTGTGACCTTTGAGAATAAATGTAACAATATATAGTTGATAACAAAAGTTTAGCGTTAAGGAATAACACCGAAGTGCTAGTTAGCATCACACGTTAGCTAACCTAGCATCACGTAGCCTACGGATTTATTATCAATGGTTATTGTTTATTGCGACACGACGACGTTTGATGTCATTAACTTTAATATGTGTTTATTGTTTGTAACATTGTATAAAATTTCACACTTTTATTTGCATTTAAGAGCGTAACGACGAGGCGCTCGCTTACGAACTAACGTTTTGCTAACGTTAGCCAGGTCGGTTATCCGCAACAGCGAATACACGAAACGGGGTAGAAAAAAACACTGTAAGAAAAGAAAATGCGTCACTCGGAAAGGTCCCAAAGAGATCTACACCAGTCCGTCCAGTGGAAACAGGATTATTGACCGAGTGTGAGATCGCCCGACCCTCCCTTGGACAGCAGACACTTGAAGACGCACTCTCTTCGACGCCTCGACTGCAAATGCCAATTGTTTACTGTGCTCCCGGACTTGCCCGTCTTTGCGTCTCAGCATATCACTCCGCAACATGCTGAACCCGAGAAAACATTAATCAAGAACCTAATTTTTTGTAAAAAATCAACGCACAACGAGATGCGTCATAATTAATAACGTGTTTGTTCAGCACACATGCAAATCAATCGTTTTATATTGGATAAACGCCGCAAACGGACTAGTTTTCGCGCTAGGGCGCATTTATTTTGCGTAAAAAGAGGGTACATGGTGCCGTAAATATCCTAATACGTTTTTGTAACGAATACATATTGTTCATACATACCGTCCAACTTAGAATATATCTATATTTTGATTGGATTCAACTAATAAATGCATGAAATATTCTTGTATTTTAGTGATTTTATGCCTACACATTGTAATCACACCCCCGTAGTTGAAATAGTATACTCTGCAAAATGCACCGGACTACTTTCTTGGAGGTTATGTCGTAGTTGTGACTGGCAGCTAAATCATCCAATGAAAAAATACTACAAGCTTAGCAACAGAAAACTGGCGCTCCTGACCAATCACCGACGAGAAGGCCGGTCCACAACGTGCTCCGTTTCCTAAATTGTGATTGGTTCTGAAGCCCATCCGTTATTCTAGGCTTGTGGTACTTGTAGTTCATAGGATGCGTAACCTTTAGCGCTTGCCTATGAAGAAGACACTAAGTCCCACAATGCACCAGTCAAAGCAGGCCGTAACGTACTCGAGAGTAGAGGCGGAGCTGGTATATAAAGAGCAGCTCCCTCTTCTTCAGCAGCACTCTGGACACTGACGAGACGGCGAAACGCGGTCTCTGAATGGACTAAATCTGTTACAGCACCGAAATAGTTAATGATAGTTAGCGACAGTTGCTTTGACAAACCTTTGTGGAGTAACAAGTGTTTACTTAATTGGAACTTTACTTTTAATTTGATAAAGTTTGCTTTCATACCATTATTTTATCCAATTTTGGATTAAGTTTATTTTTAGTTCAAATTAAGTTTTTTGATCACTTATACCCGCTCACTTTTATGAGCGTAAAGATGATTTAGAAGCCTGAGCAGAAGACCAGCGGGATGTCAGAGGTATCGGAACCGAGTCATCACCTGAAAACTCCAGGCAGCCCCTCAGGTGGGAGTAGCGGGGACCGTGTTGTGGAGCATCCCCCGAGCTGCAAGCAGAAGAGCGCATTCCCCGAGTCCGACGACAGAGGGCGCCAAAGAGACCGGCAGCAGCGCCAGGAGGAGGACCGGGATATCAACACAGACAAGTTATGGCAATCGAAAGGCGCACAACAGAGGGGGGTGTGCCCTGACATAGCTGGCGGAAACGACCTCTCAAAGTACCACAAGAAATCAGAGGGGAATCACCAGCATCTGCAGCATGGCAATGGAGACGGGGACCACCAGGACTCCGATCCGGGCATTCTGGACACACGCGCGGGCAAGAAGCGACATCGGCGCCGTGCATCCAGAAAGAAGCGCCACTGGAAGCCCTATTTCAAACTTTCCTGGGAGGAGAAGAAGGCGATGGACGAGAGGGAGACAGCCAGGGCGTCCCGTGTCAGAGAGGAGATGTTCGCCAAGGGTCTCCCAGTGGCCCCCTATAACACCACCCAATTTTTGATGGACGAGCATGACAGAGAGGAGCCAGATCTGAACACGGAGAGCGGTGGGCTGAGACGGCAGTCCGGGGTGGGCGTGGGGCTGGAAGACACAGGCAGCGAAGAGGACTTTATGGAGAGCTCTGCAACTAATAATAACGATGATGAGGATGAAGAGGAAGGGAGCGATGGCATAGGGAGGCCTGGCAATGCTGGCGGAGAGTTTCTTCAGAGAGACTTTTCAGAAACCTACGAGATGTATCACGTGGAGAGTCTGCAGAATATGACCAAGCAGGAGTTGGTGAAGGAGTACCTGGAGCTGGAGAAGTGCATGTCGCGCCTGGAGGAGGAGAACAACCGACTGAGGAAAGCTGCAGAGCCCCCAGAGAGCGGCCCGTCCCGTCTGACAGAGCTGGAGAAGGAGCTGGAGAGACTTAAGGCCCAGAACACTGAGCTCCTGCAGAACCAGCTTGCAGCCAAGTGAAAGGATGGACATGATCGGACTACTGCCGTTTTAAAGGAGCTGTATGTAATGTCATTTTTTTTTTTTTACTTTTAAATTTAAAACTTGAACCGAATGTGTTGAATTGAGGAGGTCACTATATTATTTAAATTGCTGATGCGTACACACTTACACCACTAGATGGAGTCGTGAGCCAGTGTCATAATATTTTACATCATTTTTAATGGTTTTCTTTAAAGTAACTGCTACGTTTTATACTGACTGGGTTACTGTCAGTGACCAACATAACTGCAGTCATGGTTTTGATACAAGGTGCCACAGAGACGTTTATCAAGAATTTTAAAGTAAAAAAAAGACATAAAGCTCTTTTAAAATCATTTTCTCTGTAATCCGATTGTTTTGAGGGCCCTGGGTCACGCCTCACAATGCAAGATCAGATGTTTCGTTTCTATTTGGACTGAAAGGTTAAAAAGTCCTGTTAAAAAAGTTTTGTAATTCCTTGGAAAAATCAAATTCTTTTTTGTTGTTGTAAAGACGATGTTTCTGACAATTGATCTACTGTTTGTTTCCATAAACTTGGACATTATTGGCACAAGACTGATCTATCTGAGCGACAAAAGTGACATTTTCCCCTTTTAAATAAACGCTTTAGGAAATCTTGCAAAGCTGTTTTACAAAATTAACTACCAATAGCATTTAAACAGTGGTGTGTTCAACAAAAGTTCAAATAAAAATACATTCTGTTGGATTGTGTATGTGTGAATTGTGTTTAGATGAGCAGGAAACAGGATCTGGGGGATGGCCTGCAGGTGAAAGTGTGTTCCTCATGTCAACAGAAGACCACACCACAGAGTCCACAGAGTCTTTTTCTTGTGACTGAAACGACTCTTGAGTGGAGAAACAGCAGCCGGAGCTCAGAGGGGGATGGGACGTGATGGAGAGCCCTCGTCTGAAGGTTAACCTGCAGTTTATGTACGCACAGGTCTGTAGTGTGGCAAAAGATAATAAAAATGCAAATCAGTGACAGAGGTGTGTCATATTTGGGGCCAAAGGGCTGCGGAGGATGACTTGATAATGTTTCATGAAGTTGGCTGCTGCAGAGACCTCTCATATTGTCTGCTCGCCACTTTATCACAGTGAGGCCTTTTTCATAAAACAGACATTTAATATACCCCATGCTTCAATATTTTAGCTTCATCGGATGTGCAGTGGGAAGAAATACAAGGTTATAATAATCCCAGAGCGTACAAAGACAGCTCTACAGATGATGCTGGAATTATGACAGATCACTTCCTTTGAGGTTTATGAGCTGGAGATAATGATTATATTTCTATTCAATGTGTTGGGTCATTCTGAAGTAGAGTTCATAAACTACTGATTATCTACAGAATATTAATGCAATTGGAAATGACTGCAGATTCAAGATTTGGTATGTTTTACTTACAAACTAAAGGATAATCATTTTCACACCCGAAACACAGTATTGCTTTCTGGTATTATAATTGACAAGTGATAGTTATTTAATTTTCATTTTATGCAAGGACATTTTTCATTACTGATGCACTGTTAAACTTATGTCTTGGAATGTCCCACAGTTCCGGTTTACTTTATTTCAGAATCAGAATCATTTTTATTGCCACTTAAGTAACAGGAGGTCACAGACTTGGAAATTGCTTTGGCTCAGTGCAACAGTCAGAGAGAGAGAATAAAAAATAAAGAATAAAAAACACTTCTTGTACCCATAGGTAGTACTGTTGTGCAGTGGACAGACATCAGGACATCCCATTCAGTACTATACATTCACTACAAAACAAATGTAAACAAAAAACATTCAGTTTAAAGTGTTGTTTGCCTATAGTTCAGTAGGTCAAACATCCAGCAAGTGACTCAAGGCCACTTGACAGGTCACATCAGCGCAGAGGCGAGTCTGCTCATAATAGAGTTGTTTGTTGCTGATGCAGGAGGGTAAGGACAGAGAGGATCCAGTACATTTAAGGACATTTATTCATATTTATGGACATTGGTCATCCCCCAATGGCTTCTATGTGTTTGTTATTATTTCATTTCCTGTTTTGGAGCTTGATTCTCTGATCTGTTGTTGGTGAGTCCTCCGAGACGACTGCTGTTGTGAAGAAGAGTTAGTATACAAAAACAAATAGAACTGAAGTTAAAGTATAACACACTGAGGAAAATTTCCAGCAACACATCTGTGGCGACCTCATCAGGAAACAGATGAATGGATATAAAATAATGCATTTAGATCTACAATCGTTTCCCATATGTGCATTTAGTTCTAATTCTGCAATTCCTTTTTACATCCAGTGGCACAAACACATGTCTTTGTTAGGACCACAAACCAGAGGCATTGTGAATTTTTGCATGTTTGACCTTGTTGTCACCAAGCTTTCCATCACAGTGGTCTCTATATGCTGTGATAAATTGTTATGAAGCTTCTATCTGCTGAAGGACCAGAAAACCTACAGAACAATTGATCCTGGAGCTCTGTAGACACAACTGGGATCAAAAGTTAAGGCACCATGCTGACCACTCATACAGCCAGGCTCACAAGGTCAAACATGCAAAAACATGAACTTTTTCCATACATAACAAGTTGTATAATGCACCTTTAAGCCCTAAATAAGGTCCATCTGAAATGTGTATAAACAATACACCCACAATATGGATCAAATTTCACTGTGCAAAAGTCTGCACCACACCTGCTTAGTGTGCAGATTGCTCAGAACCACAAAGCAATCTGGTTCAGAAAAGCCTTTAGATACAATACCTACGTTCCACCTCCAGAGTGCCCCAGAGAGCTTCTTTCTAACCCCACCTCATTTCTAATCAGAGAATAGCAGAGTACAGCTCAAAAGAAACAGGAAAACACCCAATTTTAAACATAATTCTTTTTATTTACATCATATAACATTACCTTAAAGCACACAGCCATGAGGGAAATGGTCATATTAGTCCAATGCAATTCAAACTGTACAATACGCCATGTTACATCTTAAGATATATGTACAAAAGTTTAAAATTAAGCACTTTGTTGACAACATATTCATTCCAGAGGTGTTTTTTTTTTTTTTGGTGACAGTTTGACGTTGTCATTAAATGCTGTTTGTTAAAGAACAGGGCTGGAAAGGTGTACCATATCGTATCGTTATAGGCAAGAGGAGGCGTCCTGGTGGAGAGATATAAGAAAAGCAGCACACTTTGCCTCCAGCAGCAGAAGCAGCAGAAGCAGCAGGTAATGGCCATTAATGCAGAGAGCGCATTGATGGGTCCTTGGCTATAGGTGTGCTTTTTACAGCTTCTAGAATACACTAATAATGTACAATGTCTTTGGACTCTGCACGATTTACGACAGAAACGTGAACGAATAAGACTTAAAAACAGGGTGCTTTTTGTGTATAGGGGGTGGGGTCATTGATTGGACAAAGGGAACTTTAAATCACCATATGACAATTGTAATGGTTGCCAATTTAGGTAAACAATTAATTTTTTTAGCGGCTATATCATCAAGATTGACTAAGCTTTCTGAAATGGAGAATTGCCTAAATATAATGGGACATTTGTCAGAATTTGCACGGCCAATTCAGTTGAAATTACCCAATAATTAAAGCTGGGGTACCTAATTTTCAAACCACAAAAAAATGAACTATGTAATAAAATCCACAACTTTCCCAGCTCTCAAAACAGTTTGGTTCCATCACTTGTTTTTTAGCATCTGTCACATCTGTAGGTCATTTTTTGCAAACAAAAAAGTAAAAAAAACCCCCCCGTAGAGTCAAAAGGGCTTTCCCCCCAACAAATATAGAATACAAATGATTTCTAATTATATGTAGACAACAGAATGGTGTCGTTTTATTTGTTAATAACTTTATACAAAACTAAAACTGTTGAAACAAACGGTATCATTTACTAAACAAATTAAAATATGTATCCCAGCTTTAAATATGTGTATTTGTTTTCGGAAATTCAGTCCCTGCAAGTATGAGCCAATTAGCAATTAAAACTCAATGCACCCCATTTACAACACACAAAAAAGCCTCTATGAGAACTGACCATGGCACTGCAGGACAAACACATTCAGAAATCAGGCACTTAGAGAAAAATCTTGAGGTAAGACATAACTTATCCATTTTGCTGTAGTATTTATCAAAGTCATGCAAGGAAAGTGAATTTCTCTCGACTTTCTAACTTTTTGCCCCTTCTGTCAGTGTTATGCGGTGATAATTTGGTTCCAAGGTCAAATAAATTTAAAATGCTAGTGACGATGCTTTTCTATTTGCCATTTGGAATTAATTGCAGCTAATGTACCATATAGTCCCAAGTCGGGGAGGATTTATCAAGACCCTGACCTTATGGAAAAGCTCGACTGGTGAAACCTCTTGGTGATAAATGCGTCGACAGATACAAACCCTCAGAGGGAGAGGTGCCGCAAACATGTTGTTCGCGACAGATGGGAGTAGAAATAGTCTTCTGTATTCACTGCACTATATCGGAGTAAATGATTTCATCTCAGCCTATCTCTGTCGCAGCAGTGAAGCCATGTACAATACTGAGCAAAGATATCACACCAGGTGACTCACAAAAATGGTCGGTACATGAAGTAATAGCAAAACTAGTAGTGCTTTGATAATTATTTTCATTGGTGTTTGGCCAACTCATTCCTACACTGTACCTGCTCACATTTTGAGCTCATGATACTTTACATACAGTGATCTGGCTTCCTACAAACATGTATTTTTTTTTTTTTTTTTACATTTCTGAAAAATCTCTGGCTCCTAAAGATGTTGGGAAGGTCATCTTAAATTGCGATACAGGGCCAGTGTCTTGGCTTAACTCCAGATGTGCTTAGATAAACTGTATTAAGTAAATGTCAGTTACTTTTCAAATTGGGAAGAGATTTGTGATTGGTCGAAATTAATTCTTGAGGCCCCTTGTCATTGGTGGAAATATTCTCCTCCAGCAAAATCTATTGGTCAAAGTTATGGAAAAGGTTTGAAATATATCGTTGTTGAAAAATACTTGCTGTACATAATAATACAGTGTCCTATGGTCAGAAAGATACGTTCTTTTAAAATAATAAGTAGCTGACGTCACCTTTAATACTTCATAGCCCTTTTTGAATCCTAACCATCTAAATATTTTTGAACAGTATTGTACATTTCTCCAAAGCTGCTAAAAGTTTAATAATCGGTAGAGGCATTTTTGAGGTTCACCAAAGATGACAAATGTTAAGCTGCCGTTGAATTGGACTCTCCATTTGCCGGATCACACTTTGCTACATGTAAAGACTACTTACCAAACTGTGCGTGTTCAAATGTTTTGCACAGAGTTAAAAAACGAAAGGCCATTTATAGGAATAAGGTTCGCTGTGTTTCCTTGATCGGGTGTACACTGAGAGGTGACATCACAATATTCTTTAATACAAAATATATAATATTTATATAGAATTGAATATAAAATTAAAATAATAATATATTAAAGGAAACATTTCAAGTAACATCTTGAAAGAAATGACTGTGCACTTGTACGCACTTTTGTAAACCATATAAACTAAAAAAAGTGAAAAACAAATGACATATTATTTATATTTACAAGGTTAACTTAACAAGGCTTTGTACAAATGTTACAAAATGCGACACACATATATTATAGCACAAACACATTATTAACAAGTACACACATTAAAGTAACAGTGGTCCGAGTGAGTTACAGGAAGACCAACAGGAAAAGCAGAGTTTCCCATTGAAATGCATTAAAAAACCGTTCGACTGGTTTTGTAGCTTGTCAAAGTCTCATTTGGCTCTTTTGGTCTTTCTCTCTTTGAACCGCATTGTACAGAAGCACCATAGACCCCAAAAGGCGAGTTCCTGCCCCTTGTCTGGTCACGTGAAAAGAAAAAAGACATTTAAAAAAATTCGACATGCGCTGGTCCAAATTCACGACTGAATTCTTGGCTGTTAACCAATGTGACAAAGTTGGTATTTTAAAAAGCGCACACGTTAGGAAATAAAGCTTTGGCAACAATGAAAATGCCCTGTGCAAGGCAAACGAGAACCCAAAAACAAAAACAAAAAAATAGAGCGGCTTCTATGAGTTACAGACAGTGACCACAGTTCTGCTGGTGTTATGACAAGTTCTGCACCAGTTAAAATCAGGTCGGAATCAGCAAACGCTTTCCAATTGGTGGCATTACAAATCGAATCATATATATTATATTTAGTTTGTTTCTCTCCTGGTTTAGTCTTAGTCCAAATTCAGGAATGGAAGAAGTTCATTTGAAAATCAGATACAGTAGTTCTGGTGGGTCTGCATTGACATCATGGATAGTGCTAGTTACTTTTTGTTACTTTTCTGCATAGTTTTCAGGACATAGTTAAAAACAAAAGCAGTGACAAAGTTAAGCCATTTAAACTTTGAACGTTTTTTGGGATCAATTCAGCCTTTATCCTTCCAATAATTTTAACAGTTGTATGGATTTTCTTTCTTGGACCAACCATCTACTTCCCCTTGAGTAATTAAATAGATGATTGGCAACTCTACCTAGCAACAGTGATGAATTCTCCTAAAGAGGGCAGATATTGGCATAACAGCAGCATTGCCTACTGACCAGAGGTTGTCACAGATACTGGTGAAACCTGGAGGTGGGCACTTGCCTGGTCCCCTGTCCCACAGTGTCTGCCGTGTCCTGGTTCAGCCGCTGTGCTTTGACCTGGTTTGGACTTATGGGCGACAGCGGGAAATCGTTCACCATCAGAGCGGGCCGTCTGTCCGAACTTTCCGTCGGAGATGCCACGACCGTATGCCTCCTCCACGCTCTCCTCTTGCGTCGCGTTTCGGGAGACAGCGGTTTCCTCATTCCTACGCTACGCAGATCGTCGGCGGAACCCATCAGCCGAGCGCGCACTTGTTCGGCTAACGATCTACCCCCGTTTGGAGTTCTCAGACTGAAGGCTTCGGCGACGGATGATTTGGATCTGGCTAGCCGCACGCTTTCCTGGCTACTCGCAGAAGACGCATTGTTTTTAGAAGTTTCGTGTCTCGCTCTTCCCTCTGAGCCGTCGCTGTGGCCGCTCCCTGGCAGCTCCATCAAATCTAAAGACTTCGCTTTCATTTTCTCGCCTTTTAATTTCTTGCGAGCCAACGTGTCGCATTGTATGAGTTTGTGAGAGTTAAAAGAGGGCCGTGAGTGCAGCTTGTGCGCCGTGGACGAAGACGAGAACGATGACGGCGTGGTCGTTCCGTCGCTCTGCTCTCCCGGATCGGGCGTAGGCGTGGCGAGCAAGTTCGTTGACGCTAGCACAGGTTGCTTGTATTGCGTGTATAGAAAGCTGCGTGGTGCGGTTGGCGTCTGGGGGCTGGCTGGCTTGTTTGGCTTTTTCTCCGGCCGTTCTTGAGTGAGCGACCGCGATGCAAACCCGCTCTCGTTGTCCGTCTCGCTAACCAGTTCGCTGTGCTCGTCATCGGCGTCTTCACCCCTCCCCTCTGATCCCAAACTCCGCCCCAGCGTGGACAGAGTGGAGTAGCCCGACACTATAGAGCGGGCGTCGTCTACAGATCGCCAGTGAGTCTCTTTAACCTGTACGTCGACCTCCTCGTGCCTTTGGCTTTCCACCACTTCCTCCGCAACAACCTCCTTCTCTTGCGTTCTCCCAACCACCACATCCTCTTCTTGCTCATCGTCATCTTCGTCAATCTCTTCTTCGGCACGAGGGGCTACGTCCGCTGTTGGCGATTCTCCCTCTTCCTCCGCTTCCTCCTCTTCCTCCTCCGTCCCCAAATGTCTGATCGGCTCGTGTTCCGAGTCGTCGTCGGTGCTGCTGCCCACTCGCCGCCCGTTGTGGCGCTTGCGACGCTTTCGGCCCGTGACGGCGGACATGATGGACAGAGTCAGGCTGGTGGTGAGGTCCTTCTTCGAGCCCCATGAAGCCTGCGAAAGGAATCACAATATTCAGCAGGGAACGAGATAACTGCACGTCTAGTCAATGTTATACGACACTCAGTCAAACCAGCTGGTAAACTGGGCAGTGCCAAGAGGACTAAAAGAGAGAGTGATGGGTGGGGCAACTCTTGGGTGTGTAAGGAAAAAGGTGTGAAAGGACCAAGCTTCATTCAAGTCTGAGCTTGTTCATTGGTGCATGCTCAAAGTTAGCTGCCCAAAAATGATTGAAAGACTAGCATTTTGTGTAATTCTGTGCAGTAGGTACGCATTGGTGCTCCCTCCATTACGACAAGAGTGACACATGAAAAATTAGAGCAAAGGGTGGATTCTAAGAAAACTGATGGCTTTCAAAAGAAGAAAAATCCAACCTTGTGAAAGCTTGGATTGTTACGTTTTTTGTAATTATTAAAGTCTACAGGAATAATTTTTCTGTAGCCCCTTGGAATCTAGGCTGCAGTACCGTAAGTGGCCTTCGAGCAGGTACTGGAGATGGGATTAAGCCACCTATTCCCTATCCAGTTATTATAATAGATTGATGGTTTAGACCAGTGCGATCGGTCAAACAACAATCAGCACTCCACCTTTGCAAGCAGCCGTTTGTCGGACACAACTTTGAAACAAAATATGCACAAACGTGAATTGCCCAAAAGCGACGCAGAAGCAACTAAAATTGAAAAGTTAATATTTACCTTTGATTTTGCTGAATCACTGTTGGTTGAGTCTGAAGAGAGAAGGCAGAAACATGAGGTGAGGTTCACAGACATTAGACGGTAGTCGTGTCGGCAGCAGAAGTGGCAGAGGACACAGAGGTACATTAAAGCCAGTTTGATCATCACTTTTTGAAGGACAAATTTAGCACACACAAAAAACTGCAGCATGGCTCTCTATGGATGCTCTGCCTTTGCTCACAAGTTAATCAGGCATTTTATACATTTACTGCAGTAGGGCCCCAAGAAAAGTCAACTGTGAGTGATATTTACATTCTTTTGGCCAATTTAGTATATGCATAGAATCCATAGGTTACAATGCAGTTTACTAGGTTTTGTCATACATACTTTTCTGTGTCCTCAAACCATAATTAACATATTTAAACAAGTCAATAATTGGAGTTTGGGTTAAAAAAAAACACAACACAGCACCAAAACATGGATAAATTCAAATCAGTGGAAAGAGACATGAAGACAGTGAGAGATAAGGCGCTTTGAATAGTTTTAACACAGAAAGACAGTCCAGACACTGTATGTAGGGTCTGTAGGTGTGATACTGTATATCAAGATGCAAAAAGCACAGAGCAAAGTCAAGAGTCAAGAAAAAAAAGAAAACCTTTGTAACTGGGGAGTTCTTTAGATTAAACTTTGACTAGAAAGGCCTCACAGATAATTAATTTGACAGAAGTGAATTCAAGTATACAAATCAGCCTACAGTAGAGTTTTAGCTTTAAAAAGTCATATAGACAAAAGTAGCAATATGTTTATATATTGTCTATCTATGATGTTACTATAGTTGACAATACAAATATATTACTTGTTGCAGCCTAAAAGCCTATAGTCTTATATATTCCAGGGCAAAATGCTTTTCTGGATTTGAGCTTATGACTCAAAAGAATTATTCTCTTTTCTTTCAAGTTTATTTTTCTGTAAGACTTTAAATGACTACAAATTATGCTCTTCATATTCACTTGCCTCGTTGCTCAAGTCTCATTGTCAATACTGAAGCTAATGTCGTGTTGACTGGAATAAAAACACATTGCAAAGTCTATTTGTAGTAAGCCTAGTGAGAGCGCATATAATTTTCCTTCTACGCCACTATGTCCACACTATTTGCAACGCGGCTAGTCGTGTTTGTGCTAAGTCAACACGGCAACTCTCAATGACATCTGCTGCTGTAGGAAATATTTTCCCCAAATGTCATCTCTCTGCTCGACCTTTTAATAAGAGAAAACCACTTCCTGTTATAGTTACATAATGAGTATGTAGTTAGTAACCAACCATAAACTCGGATGCTATTTCAAAATTAGTCCATGCTCACAAAAACTATGCTGTGAGGGGAAAACTCATCATTCATGTCACTATTTTAGTATAAATGTGGTCACTATTGTAAAGAGTGGCTGTCATTGTTATTGTGGATTGTCTAAAATTTCCCCACTGAGAGACAAATAAAGGGTCTCCTAACTCTTATATTAATATGTAATTTTGTATTTATTTTTCTGTATGAATCTTGGTTGATGAATATATTTTCTTCAATTGCATTATTTCAGTTTGGAGCCTTGGCATTCTTGGTTAAAAGACAAATCACCCAGAAAGTATTGAAATATTTTACTCTTAATCAGACATTTGTTAAATACATCTCAAAAGAGTAAATCAAGCAAATGTGCTTAAGCTGAGAATTGTCATGCAGTGCCTTGTCTTCTCTTTTAATGATTTTAATGTATTTTATTGTCTTTTTTAACCGTTTTGTATCTTTTAACTCTATACTATGTTTGTACGTTTGTATGATTGCGAGCAAGGGACCAATGCACGATTTCCTTTTTGGATCAATAAAGTATATATCTATCTATCTAAACTTATTACAGATTCTGACAATAGTACCTTGAGGTAACCAGGCCTCAAGTTGAAAGTGTAATTTAATAATAATAATAATAATTATGATATAATAATACATTTTAATTCTTAGGTGCGTGACACTCAAGGTTACATTACATTTTCTGACTTTCTGCCTTGGTTGGTATTTTGGTATATGTCGATCTGACTTCTAGCTGGCAGTCTAGAATGACTATTGCAATGACAATGATTTTCTGTGCTGCACTTTGGAGACTGTTTATGAAATGTGCTGTGTAAATAAAGTGGATTGGAATGTTGCTAAATAAATGCCTTTGCCGATCAGAAGCAGCCCCACGTTGATCCTCATTGCAAGTGCTTGTTGAATAAGACTTGTGAGACCGGGTGATATGACCAAAAACATGAACACCAGTGAAGAATCTCTCAGCGACAGACAAGATAATTATGATTTTTGCCATGCCCAAAATGATCTGACACTGAGAGGGACACACCATCACCACAATGGACTTCCTGATTTGTCTGCGTTGCCAGGGTTACAGGGAACATCTTACAAACTATTGTGTGACTATGCATCATCTTTTCCCACAACAAACTTTTGCCAAGAACTTTATTGAAAGCCCTGATTCTACAAGCAGCGCACCACAGCAAAGCAGCATTTTTTTTGGCAGAACTATGTTGGGGGAAATATGGTTCCAAGATCAATCTGGTTTATTTAGCTCCGGAAAAACTGTCGCTCTGGGAAAGGAGAGGTTTGGGCTCAATGGATGAAATAAGGTCAAAAAGTTTGTTAAATAAGTGAGCTGTGATCAATGATAATCCATAGATATAATGTACTGAGGATAATGATTTTACAATTAAATATTTTATTATTATAAAAAAAAATCCCACAAAAATGTCAACTGGTTTGAATTTAAATTTTAAAGATAATGACAAAAAGGCTGCAAAATACTCGGATGTTGAAATAATGGAAGTAAATGAATAATTCCACTGTGTTAAATTATAATACAAATTGTCACCTTTTTATTAGTGGGAATTGAGATTATATAAGCGCTTCACCAGACCCATTTTTGAGTATAGAGTTGTTTATCAGAGAACACTATTCTTTTTTCCCTAACGCTGGCTCACACTGCTGAGCTGCTGTGGTCTCTGACACTTTAAAGCACGGGGGAGACCACATGTTAAGGCGGTAATTAACCAAATAAACAGAGAAAGGAGCTGTGGAGAGCTGTGGAGAGCTGCGGTGTGTGGTCAGAAAAGCTCCAGATGATGAGGCCCCTCTGCAGCAGCACGGTGCGAGACCCTCATTACTTTTCATTGTCCAGAAAGTCTGCAGTCGTTGCACCAGTCGGTGTGAGGGCGTGTGATGACACCATGTTAAATTAACCGTTTCTTTGCATTTCACCAAATAGAAAGATGTTCCCTGAGCGCGACCGCACAGACAAACCAGTCCACCACATGTAAACATTCCAAACACTTTCCAACAGTGCTTTGGGTTGGCGTGGGGCTTTGCACACAGACAGACACAGACAAGGCCAGGGGAGTCCCCATCCTACCGCTGCGGCTGCTCCACTGGCTCAGCTGAAGAGAGGAAACGCAAGAAACGCACAGAAAGAGTGAAAGATGAGCAAAGGGAGAGCAAAAAGAGAGAGATAGAAGAGCGCACAGGTATTGGCCAGGGCTTGACATAAACATAACACTTATTAATAGTATGCTCCTTAATGCAACATGATCATTTCCTTAGTTACGGAGGGGTAAACAAGTGTTCTTGGCAACCACTATTTCTCTATTAGTCCAACACAACGCCTGCAGCTACCTAGAGAAAACAATGCAGCTCACTGTTGGAATCATATTAAATTATGGAACAAATCCAAGTCCACATTTATGGACTATAATTACTGTAACTTGATAAGAAGTCAGTTGTCAATAGAACATTTGTTCCCCCCTCTGTAACTATAGAAATGTCCTTAGTGCAGATAGGTGTATATTGCCTGGTACGTTGTATTGTTTTAATGATATTTATGTCCAAAGCCTATGTATTTAAACGTTTTTAAGATCGCAAAATCTATGGGAAATATTTTACATGAAAATACAATTCAATGAGAATATTCATTTTAAACCTGAAATAATTCTGTGTGCTGCTGGAAGGGAGACAAAGGCTATAATTTGATTATAAACAGCTTATTGATTATCCAAGAATGTCCCACAGAACTAAACTTATCGATGATATATTTTTTGTTCTAATTAGGACTGTTTGTTAAAAGAGTTAGTAAATAGAATGTGGTTTGAGGCCTCTATTCAGGCAAACAATTTGACTAACCCTACGGCAAAGACAGGGAAAGAAAGATCAATTATATTCTATGAACATAAACTAAAACATTGTAGAGTAATTGATTCATTCGAAGGGACAAAAGATGATATTTTTTGCATTTACGTGTGCCCTAATTTCCACAGTACAAAGTTACACAGTGCGCTTTTTATATCTTATAGAAACATTGATTTTACAGTCAGACTGGGATGAAATGAAAATAAGTCTTGCATTATTGTAGAGTAACTGAAGGAGCAGATGTGACTGAATGCGTTTGTAATTGAAAATCTGTGAGTTTGGTTTATGTCAAGCTCTGGAAAAGTTTATCAAACATGAAACACTGCAAAAAATAGTACAGGCTCCGACTAGAAGGGCCGTTCTGTCATCTGCCGTGCTGCGTTCTAGTTCAAATGGAAAGTAGGGAATACTGGCCTCAAACTGGGACACAAAAGTCAAAAGTGCAGTCTCTGTCTTCAAGGTGAAAAAAAACTACTTATATAATTCTTGTGTTGCCGTAAATCTTTCCATCTCTGTATAATGACGTATTGTTTGTTCATGAAAAATGTTTTATGTGATTTATTGACAATATAAAGTTGATTTGTCATTTCAAGATAATTGTTAATAATAGTATGTTGTTTTGTTGGTATGAAATATCTGGGGTAAATATAAAGTCACTGTAAACAATGGGCCTCATTCACGAACGGTTCTTAGGAACAGATTTGTACGTAAATCCTACTTTCTTCGTTTTTACGAAGAAAGTGGCATTCGCAAATATTTCTCGTAACCAGAATTTCTCTTGGGCAAGTACAAATCCTACGAGTCCTCAGGAGCACTCGTACGTATTCAGTGCCGACATGTTCACACGCCGGGGTTGTCCTCTTTGGTGAAGTTGAATAAAAATACAACATTCCAGTGATATGTCCGTCATATCGATGTATGTATTTATTTATTTGTAGTAATCTTTATTAGTAATCTTTATTTATATACCGCCTTTTTCACTGCAGATATGGCCTACTTTTTAATTCATTTTGAAATGAAATGTGCCAACGCTTTATCAAATACATTGGAAATCTTGCCGTGTATTAGTGACCCCTTCCTATTTATAGGGGGCATTTCTTTATCCACGGGCCACAGAACAACGGCATATATACTGCTGCTGCAGGAGGTTACTGGGTCCGCGCTGAGTCTCTGCGCTGGTCTCTCCTATGGATCTATACGGGTCTGCACTGGTCTCTCCCATGGATCTATACGGGTCTGCGCTGGTGTCTCCCATGGATCTATACGGGTCTGCACTGGTCTCTCCCATGGATCTATACTGGTCTGCACTGGTCTCTCCCATGGACCTAGACGGGTCTGCACTGGTCTCTCCCATGGATCTATACTGGTCTGCACTGGTCTCTCCCATGGACCTAGACGGGTCTGCACTGGTCTCTCCCATATACGGGTCTGCACTGGTCTCTCTCCATACGGGTCCGTGCTGCATGCTCCTGGATCCATACGGGTCCGCGCTGGTCTCTCAAGTCTGGTCTATGCGGTCTATCTTCGGTCCGCGCTGGTCTCTGCGCACCGGTCTCTCCAGTCAGGTCACTCCAGTCTATGCGGTCTCTCCTATAGGTCCGCGCTGGTTTCTATGTGCTGGTCACTCCAGTCTCTCCTCGGGTCTGCATTGGTCTCAGCGCTGGTCCGCGCTGGATCTCCTCCCAGGGTCCAAAATATTTTGAGATTAATCTCAAAACATTTTGAGATCCATCTTTAAAATAATACATAATATATTTTTAAATTAAGCTTATAACATTTTGAGATTAATCTCATCATATTCTTAGATTAATCTCATAATTTTGCTAGTTCGACTTTATTATCATAATATTTCAACTTTTAAGTCAACATTTTATAACTTTATTCTCAGTCTGGTAAAAGAAGAAAAAAGGGTGACTCTTTTGCTCCGTGGCCTGTTGCTTTATGCCTAGCGTACATCGACAGAGAAACTGGGGACAACTAGTTGCAAGGCGGCTTTTGGCAACTGAGAGGAGATGGTGGGAGATGATCAGTTGCCGAAATCGGTCGATGTGAGCGCTCTTACAACTGGAGATGAACAGTCGGTCTCCAGTTCCAGTCAGTTGCCCGTGTTCTACTTTTCGGCAACTAGTTGTCCTCAGTTGCTCCGATGTGCGCGCTCCATGCGCCGCTCCGACAACGTGTGTGTATTGCGTGTATTGCGAGCCCGCAACAGTTTGTTGTCAGAAAACACACTGTGGTTGAGGCCAGTTGCTGTCGATGTACGCGCTGTTATTCAAGAGACTGGCCTGCGACTCAGAGTTGCCCGTTTTCGCCAGATTGTCGATGTGTGCGGGGCAGCAACTCAGAGGCGACGGATATAATCAGTTGCCAGTCCGATGTACGCTAGGCTTTAGGCCTGTTGCTGTTTCCTCTGCCGTCTGCACACGGCCCTGCAGTCCCTTATATGGGCATTAGTGGGCGGTTACTTATGCTAAGTACCTATGCTAATGAAGCACCTGGCACGCGCGCTCTACTTACGAGGAAATGGGATTCATCAATCTGAGAGAACAGCTGCGAACAATTCAGCGGCTTACGAGTGCGTTGATGAATCTACTTAAGGACAACTTGAGAAGAAAGTTGAGTAGTTTCTTACGAAGTTATTCGTGAATGAGGCCCAATCTTTCTAAAATGGTCAAAAGGGGATTCTGGGGTTTCACTGTTAAGCTAGCACCCTGTTGTTTTGGTCTATGGTTCTGATTCATGATAATCTACAGGGACAGTAGAACGCCCAACTGTTTGGTTTGGACCATAATTCCCTCTTTCTGAGGTAAACTACCACGGAATGTGAAATTTCAGGGCATGTACTGAAGTAAAAATTCCAGAAATATACAAATCAATATTTGGACTTAATACTTAAATCTCTGGGTATTCTTTTTTCATCAAATGTTAAGTTTGCAGTGGCAGAGAAGCTAATGTGTAAATGGAAAGTAGGAGGGGATTAAATAAATTATCTTCTTCCCACTCTCTTTCAGGCAAAACTGTTTTTTGATTTTGTTATAGATATGTTTTTAATGCTAGTAAGAATTGAGTTGCTCCTGTGTTTGCCTGAAATGAATAAATAAATAAATAAAACCAGAATGATTGTGGTGTCTATAGGATCTTGATAGTCAGTTATAGTAGAGTGAAATGCTAAAGGCTCTTAGATTGTCCATTGAAAGTGTGAGAAGATTTCTTTTAGACGTGTCATCTGATGGAACTAGCCTACTTTCTCATCCCAACAGAACGCAGCAGTATCCGTGGAGCTGCAGATCTCACTGTTCTTGGATATTATTTTTGGTAAAAGCCGTAAGCGCAGTGCCCACCTGAGGCCTCCCCGAGCAGACCTGTGCGGCCGATATTAGAAAGAAGGTGGTCAATGTTTGGAGCCGGCTGCACGTCCTCCGTGTCCACTGGGGTCTGGGAAATAAAGAAAACGTGTTTTATTTAACAAGAAAACAACAGAGCAATTTGTAGTCCCAATCTTGTTTTGTAATATACGCTGCACAAGGGGCCGAAAGTGCTGGAAGGGGAAAGACAAGAGGATATTTGCAGTTCTCAAGTGACACAGCTCTAATGCAACACATATGTCATTTCATCTTGAGCAAATAATAACATTAGCTTTGAATATAAAACAAAAAGGCGCACTAATAAAAAGGGAATATACATGATCTAAGTATTTAATATGGCATGGACATATAAATAAGTAAATGAATACATGGAGTGTTTTACACCTATGATTAAAGTGTTTTCATCAGAGCAGTGCTGGTTTTGCATAGATTTTTATGCAGCGAGACAAAATCAATCATTTGAAAACATCAATGCACAAAAACTGTCTTTTAAAGTTGTTTTAATTATGACTATTTGCGCAATATAACGTCATGTCATAATTTGGTCTTATTATGGCATGTATTTAGGTAGAAATGTAATCCTTTAGGCAGCAACCATTTAAAAAAACAAACTACTCTAATCTGTAACAGAAAGAAAATAACAGAAAAGTCTAATAAAAGCCAGGTCACTGTATAGAAATTATAGCAATTCTGATAAAGACCTATAATAATAAAAAACAAATATATATAATGTAAATTTCGTCAACCATTCCCATAAATAATTTCATATAGATGTAATGATGTGAATGTAGACCAGCCTTTAATCTGCATTAAAATAATTAGATTAAAATGGCATAAACAAGCGCTTGGATTCATCCTTATTTGTAAAAACCTCATAATCTACTGTTCTTTTTGCTTCGCAGCAATTTTTTACCGATAAGATCACATGAACTTTCGAGTGGAGAGTGGAATAATTGGGTTTCACCTTGTGCTACACTCGTTTTATCAAAGTAAAATCGACTGGTGGCCCAAAGGCTGAATGCTAATGAGCTGAGGCAGAGATCCAACTCCAGATCTGGGACTTTTAGATCCATAAAGTGACGGTGACGAGAAAAAGTGGCAAAACCTTCACAAAGACACTTGAAGGTTTGTTCCTATTACAGTTAGGTAGGACCACGTTTAAATTAGATCTTGGTTTTATTAGCAAGTTAGAATCATAGGTTGATTATTGTTTCATTAAAGTGTTGTACTTGACATGAACTTAATCTAAATAGTTATTTGTGTGTTGATGCTTAACTTTCAGACTCACTTCTGATCTCAGTGGATGTGGTGAAGTGGCTACAGTTGTTTTTAACGTGTGCACTGGACATTGACGCCTGGATCGATGTGGGATTTATTTGGTGTGGATAGAAAGTGTCCACTACGATCGAGAAGTGCTATTGATTTACACAACGATTGCTCTTTTACATTATCTATTAACTATTATCTACTATCTACTTAACAAAATCACATAGAAGAGTACAATAATAAATAGATAAAACTTGAATTATGTTTGTTCTGTCTTAAAACAAGATATGGGAATGGAAGAAGCACAATGTTTAATTTAAGAACCTTCTCAGCCAAAATGCTATGGCTATGAAAAAGGCTTGATCGATTGGAAAGTCTTATTTTTACACAAATTGACTAAAGATAAACTTTAAAGAATGAAGGTAATTAAAAGCCCTTCAGTAGCAGAAATGCCTCATCAGTTTCGAAATCCAGCGACCAAGCTTCTGACAATTGTTTCCTTACATTTTTCTTACATCTTTAATTTTGTTTTAGTATTTTAGATTTCAGTAGTCCATCGCTTATAATGTTTCAGGGCTCCACCTTCTGTCTGTTTCACATACAATTTTTGCTGTTTAGTGTAAGAAAAATATTTTCTTTTGTGCCTGATATCCACATCAGGGATCAAATCAAACGGTAGAATATGTACCTTTTCATCCTTGTCGTTCTCTTCATCGAAAAACCACAAACCCTGCAAAATAACGATTCAAGTCAAATACTGTGATTCTGTTTGATTGTTTATGTAACGGCTGAAGGGTTTAGGCATCGCTCACATGTTGAATGAGAGTCTCCACGATCTTGTAGCGGTCAGGCATGTGCGTCACCATGTCCTTCATGTTGTCCTCAGACGTTCTCACCAGAGTTGGACCGAAGACCAGCGCCAGGTTCCGAGGCTCCATCTGAACAAACCAGACAGAGAAATAATGCAGTTAGAACTCCACTATTTATTTTTATTGTATTTCAGTGATTTTAAGACTCTATCTGACACAAGAAATTCAGGTATTAAGGTCGTATCTAATCTAATCTAAATCTCTATGTATCCTTGACTTTAAACCAGAATGCCAGGGTGTCTTGAACTCGCAAGTTTATTTGTACGGTACAATTCATGCACACAGAAAGTACTTTAAAAGAGAGGAAGCCTTGACATCACAAATAATCACACAACATGCAATTGAAAGAATAAATTAGTGACATTAAAACTGTCACTAACAGTCGACGGGATGGCAAAACAAATTTTCGCTTAGTTGGCTGGACAGTGGAGAATTTCTATAAATGATTCAAGTCTAATTTACTTTTTGCGACAACATTGAGAATCTATGTTGTCACTTATAAGAAGAAGAATAGCTTCAAATGTTCTCTTTGCCAAACAGTTATTGTTTGAGCAAACCCAAAAGTTCTGCTTCACTATAAATTTCAATTGTATATATTTGATTGAATTTTTATGGACTTTTTATGCACATGCTATCTGAAATTACAATCAAACAGACCTTATTCTTATCCGAATTGTCTGCCACAGTCTTCAGGTGCATGACCATGAACTTCAGTGTGTGGTAATAGTAATCAGGAAGGTTTCGTATCTGCAAAAACAGGACATAAACCAGTTAGACTTGCCCAGAAACTCTACTACAGATGTAAATTAGCAGTTTTGCTATAATCTGGCACATTTACAATCTGTGTACAACTGTATATGGTTGTTCATTAATGTGTGTTGTCCCGGGTTAGGGTTAGGGTTAAGGGTTAGGGTTAGGGTTAGGGTTAGGGTTAGGGCTAACCCTAACCTTTTCAAATAAATAAATAAATAAAAAAAAAAACTCCATGAATAGTCTATAAATCTATCTAGGCGTTTGAAATGGTCACAATACGTACAAGTTTCTTCATGGTTTTGAGTCGATCCGAGGCATTTTCCATCCGATTGGCGTCTATAAAATCATTGTAATGGTCTGAAGAGATAAAGAAGATAAATAGTTTGAATTCCTTGTTGCGAGTGGTGTGATAATAATACATTCTTGCTGAAACTTGTTTGGTCCTAACCGTTGGTAAAGAGCGGCTCTGGGAGTTTTCTAAAGAAGGATTTGAGCAAACTGCTGACGACATTCAGGTCCTGCCATTTCTGAAAAGGTCAAAAGAAAAACACACACAGAGAGATTATAAGACAGTAGTTCTCAACAAAAGAAACGTCTCCCAAGATAGGTATGAAACAATGAAACAATATAAGGAAAAAGGACCAAGACAAGATAAACAGGACGACTCAGACATGGATACTTTCTGGAATAGTAGGAGATTATAAAAATGTGTAAAAGGATTAGCAGTCTGCGTGCATTCACCAGACAGCATGCATACATCCATACACCAACTGGCATTCACTTCAACATCTTCTCTGTCAGAAAATAACTATTGTGATTATATGGTTGTGAGAACTATATGCCAGTGCAACTCTATGGCAAAAAAGCATACTTTTTTAAAGAAATGTTGAAACTGCCATATTATTCTTATGTCTGAAAGTCTTTCCCCTGGCCAACATCATGCATATGTTTTGTTTTTGTTTTGATTATTGTCACCACTTCTAGACACCTTGATGAGAAACGTAATATATACTATAGATGATATTTACTAAGAAGGTGGAACCAAGAGGTGGAACTGTGTGACAGTTTTAGTTTCATGTGGATGGGCCCAGGAATTATATAGAAACTAGCTCTAAAAGTAAGACTAGAGGATTTTTGACACCAACAATAGTTACTGCTACTGTCCACCACAATTTATACACCTATTCACAACGTGATCATTTCCACAATTACAGAAGGGAGATTTTTTTTGATAAACATTGTTGACAACAGAAGTTAATTATAAAGTTAATTATAGTCCCTACATTTGAATACCAGTTGGATTTGTTCCATAATTAATTTTGATACGAGTCCAGCTGTGAGCTGAAGGCCGTGTGTGTTAGGCTAATGGAGAAATAGTGTTTGTCAAGAACATTTGTTTACCCCTTCGTAACTATGGAAACCATCATTTCGCAAATAGGTGTGTGGTATTTTTGGAATGTTGTGAAATCACATGAGTGCAACCTATTCTTAACAAAAGAATGATATGTTTCGTTTGTGCATCGTAAGTTTTGGATATTTCTAAATCAAACGGTAAAATTTTCAGTCATTTGAACCAAACATAGCCACAGTATCAGGATGAAGCGACCTGTCCAGCGCCGCTCACCTCTTCTGTGGGGTTGATGTCCACTCCTTTATTGAGTTGCTCCTGCAGCTGTGACACCATAGCGTTGTTCCCAGGGACTCTGTAAATCCCTGTGTACTCCAGCCCCATTTCCTCCACCAGACCACAGCAGAACTCCACAATCAGCGGGATAAACTGGGACAAAAAAGACAGCTTTACACTTCACAAATAATATTGATATCTCTGCTTACACGTAAAATAAGGGCTGGGAACAAAATACCATAATACACAACAAGACCAACTTTCACCTCAGCCTATTTCCAAGAGCATTCTTTGAACTGCTCTTTTAAAAAACCTGGAATTGAAATTTAGCATCTAATCTCTACTTTCCATCTCCATTAGAAGAACAGGCGCATAAGTTAATTGAGAAATTGGCAGAACACAAAATACAGGGAATTGCTTCTGGTTACATTCACGTAAAACCCGGTTTCTGGGGAAACGAGGGCAATTCCCATGACTGCTGATTTAAAACCACAATGCTTTTGTGGGAACTGAGGGATTAAACAAGTAAAGTATTATACATATCTAACTATTTATGGGTCGATTGCAGAGGACAAATTGAATACAGTTTACCTTACTTTACCCAAAAAAGTCAGGTCATATTGACCAGGTTTGAACTAAAACTAGTCATAATTGCAAGTCAACTGATTGCGACAAGAATGAGTACATTGCCACTTTTAAGGGTAAATTCATATTTAAAAAATAACATTTACTCTAACTGATTTTAACTTGGACTAAAAAGAGCATGTGTGAATGCTGTTTGAAGTAAACAAGTCCAGAGAGGGAACAAATACGGCTATAAACATGAAGTTAAATGTAGCAATATGTCAAATTAATCCATGTCCCTATCAAAAACAAAACATAAAAAACATTCAGATTTTTACCTTGTTGTTGACACCTGGTTGACAGTCTTCCAACCTCACTCCAAAAGCCTTGGGTCCGGCCTTTTTGGGCTTTTTAATGATGTTGATTCCCCAAGGAGATTTGGGTGGACTGCTTTCCTCTGTGGACACATGCAAACTGTGATTACAACACAACATTCAAGCCATTTCAAAGTACTCATAATAATGTCCTCAAATATTCCCTTTGTCATGAGCACGGCCAATGATTAGAACGTGGTCTGAAAATATATGTTGAGAGGCAAGTAGAAAGTAGAGGTGTTAGTCTTAGAAGTGTCAATAAAAGGAACTAATGTATGGTTGTCATAAAGTAGCAGCAATAGTATATTTTTGCTGTGGTCAAAAAAACATTAAAACCACCATTAAAAATATAATTAGCTAGTCACAGATTGCGATACAAGTAGCAACCATTTTATTGCTGTATATTAGGGGGATAGTATTCAGTGGAAACTTGAGTCCCAGGTTGATAAACTTGTCAGAAAAGTAATTTGAACAGAGATTAAACCAAATGAAACCAGCTGTGTTCTGAAGTGAAAATCCCTAAAATTGTCATGATCATGAGTCACATCACAGGAAAGTAATCACAATTTCCAAATAAGATTGTACTTTCATTTTAAAAAGAAAAAGAAAGAAAAGACGTCTCAAAAAATCCCCCAGCTGAATAGGAAGTGGGTGTTTTTGTTGCACAAACCTTTGCCTTCTGGCTTGGGCGAGCGTGGGGCACTGGATGCGGTTTCTGTTTTAGGCGAGAGGAAATTTGTCTTCATCCGGTGCAATCGGGGAGAGGAGTCTGGCTTTGCGCTGGTCGGACTGCAGGGGGCGACAGAGAGACATGTTAAGGCAATGCAAGGGAGTTGTTGTATAAGTATTAATGTGACAATCCACCCTTAAGGTTACTCAGAAAGATAGCGTAGATATAGTTAGAATACTAAATATATAATGATTCTTTTACACAACATTGACCTCTGCTTTCTGTAGTCATTCAGTTTCTTGCTGATTAAGGCCTGTCTGGAAAATCCAAGCTCCTGAAATGAAATAAAAAGGAAAATTATGATTTGGTCATTTTTTTCAAATGTAGTTTATTTATTATTATTAATTCAGTCACTGACAAACAACAACAATGAAAACAATTATTATGAGATCTCGAAGGATTTAGGCTGAAATTTACATGCAAAAACAGTATCCTGATTCAAATGACAAAGGACATAAAACCTTAGAATTTAATGAAAGTACCACTCATAGCAGATAACTAGTAATAATCTCTCTCTATTAAAACTTTGAATGGATAAAAAATAAGAGGAAAACAATTACAATCTGGTTAAAAGATATCGAAAGTAGATTTAACTTGAGATGTTGCCTTGTAAAGGGGATCAGAGCAGGAAAGAGAATGTGTATCTTGAGAATTGATTATAGTCACAAGTTATGGCCACACCTTCCGGAGCTTCTCACCTCATTGTCCGTCTTGCTGTTCTCGCGGATGACCTCGATCCAGTCTAGCATGTCCTCGCGGTCCTCGGCCTGGAGCAGGTACTCGCAGAAGTCCTGGGTGGTCAGCCGCAGGGCGTTTTTCCGTTTGGTCTCACTGTACGCGATGTCCACCAGACAGCCGCGGATGCTGATTGGTTGGTCGTCCTCTGCCCCGCCCCCGATTGTAGCCCCCCGCAGGACCGCCTCCCGCTTGTCTTTGTAGAGGAACAGCGAATGTGAACGCAGCACGGAGAAAACACGCTTCCACGGACGCATGCCGCTGCCCACTTTCTGTAGAGGAAAAAAGATAAACCAATTTAAACCTGAATTATCAAGAGATTTATTTTCAAACATATACCACACTTAGCCTATGACTTTTTAATGAGAGCTTTTATCTACTGACACAAGTTTGTTCATTGGTATAGTTTTTCACTGTTTTTGATGCTCCACAGTTTGTGGCCCATGTAAAGCAGATCAGTTCAACTTCAAGCCTCGGGGCTAGATCGGGTCCCTCCAGACAGTCTGATCCTGCCTGGGGCTCTTCCTCCAGGTACTGAAAAAGTTCTAGTAAAGACCTCGTAAATTCTTAAATTATGAATGTATAATCTCTAAATTAGTGAGCGTGTGTCCACTCTTCATGTATGTATGTATTTGCCGGGTCCTCGATTTCAACTTTACAGATCTGCTTTGTAAACCGTCCTCACCTTGCCCTTTTCTGTGAGGATCTGTTTGTAGTGCAGCCATCCTTCTCTCCGCACGTCGCTGTACGTGATGTTTCCCAGCTCTGAGGTCGAGTGGCGTTTCGACCGAACCTCCTCTGCCGATCCCAGCTGGTCCAGCGACTAAAAACACAGGAACATGTTCATAACGGTAACTAAATTACATTCTGTACCAGTAGTCTTTTGTTTGCCTGTACAAATACAGTGTACACGATAGTCAACGTCTATACAACATTTGCAAGTTTTAAGTTTTTGTATTTTAAGCTGAACCATACGTTTTTATCTCTGCAAAGTCAATAAGAGTAATAAGACATGTCTAAATATCTTTTTTTTTTTTAAATCTACTTTTTAGCTCAACTTTTGTGGATGATAAAATGTTTAAAGTCAAACTATAATATATATGTAACCAGTGAACCCTGTGTTATATTTTAGTTAAACGCTGCTGATGTAGTTAATAGTTCTAGGGTTAATATTTAAAGCTGGGGTACATAACTTTCAAATCACACAAAAAATAACTATGGGATAAAAATCATCAAACTATTTCCTCGCTCTCAAAACAGTTCACATGCATGTACAGTACATACGATTGGCCGCTGTCACATCTTTAGACAGAAAGGTGAAAAAGAGAGGCCTGTTATCACACAGCCAGAGATCTCTCACTTCAAAGACTCAAAACATGACTCAAATGTACATGCAAAAGATAACATGTTTTCTGATAAGATAAAGACAGGATGTTGCGGTCTGATTTTAGTTTCACAAGACTCTTTCTGTTGGGACAAACAAAACGTACTATATACAAAACAGATAAAGTTAGGTTCCCCAGCTCTAAGGTCATCTCAAGTTTGTGGACTTACCCCGTCTGTGAAGAAGCTTTTCACCCTCTTTGGTAGCCTTCTGCTGGTGAACACAAACCACACAGCACGTCATAGGTAAAATACATACAATTTAAAACAACAGCAGACTTCCATTCATTCAGAACTAAACTTACGAAAAGACGCGTCCCTCTTCCCGGAAGGAGTTGAGTCCTTCGTCGCAGGATTTGGAGCGCTCGGTGGTGATGGCTAGAAGATAGGAGGAACGGCGAGTCGATTTAATACTGCCTGTTAAGTGTGAACGAGCGGGAGAGACAAAAAAGGGAGTGAAATGAAAATAAGAAAAAAGAAAAATGTAATGATGTAATGCCAATCACCACAAATGGCGTTGGATTAACAAAAAGGAAAGCGTCAGAAAGCAACGGGGGCTGGACAATGACCTGGTTAATGGACAGAGGGAGTTTGGACCGGACGACAATGTTAAAATATCATACATTGTGAATTTCTAAACATGCATACAGCTACACCATGCAATCCTAACATCAAATTCAAACAAAAATGTCTCTACTTGTCGACAGCATGTTGGCTCATGCAGGCTTTGGCACAGTAATAGTTTAGACTACCATGCACGCGCACATCTTATCAAGAAACGTGTTGAATAAAAATGCTTTCTACCACTCTTCATTCCTAACCTACCTCAGGGGAAAAAAAATCAAGCTTTGTAAAGTTGTAAGTATGACAACAACCTGAAATGTATTAAAGCTGAGGTTAGGATGCATACATGTTGTTTGTCCCAAATGTATAAAAATAATATAGAGTCTACATTGAGTCACTATTTGATGCTTTAATGTGATGGCGGTTCTCTCTTTGGCAAAGCTAATGTAAAGATCTGACTGAGGCCAAAAATACATGCATATGAGGATTAGTGATAGAGGCAAACTGTTTTGAGAGCGAGGAACTGGTTAAGATAGATTGGATTACACAGCTATTTTTTTTGTGGTTTGAAAGTTCGGTATCCCAGCTTTAAAGGGCAGACTGGGCAGTACTTCACTTTCAAACCACAAACAAATCAACTATGTAATAAAAGTAGTTCCAGACTTTTGTTCTGCTACTATCACTAGTTTTCCCATGGATGTATTTTTGGCTTTTTTCACATCTTCAGATCAGTTTTTTTCAGACAGAAAAGAGAAAAAGAGAGGACCACACCTACTCAGTCCATCAGATCTAAGCCCAAAGCGTCAAATTCGTCAAATTAGTCTGATTTGTTTGTGGATTATTTATTAAACAACCCCAGATTGAATGAGTACGGTTGTCAAAATAAAATTACAATGTATTATTAGTAGACTAAATGTCGCAGACTTAAAACTACAACTCCAAACGGTCCCATTTCCTTGATAAGATGTGAACTCTTATACGTACATAATGCTCCATATTTCAAAGTGACTACAAATGCACATATTGGGTTATTTGGTTGCATGCCGATATGAACGCGGCGGTGGATCGGTCGGAGGTGGAGGGGAGGGGGGACTCACTGCAGTCCTGGGAGAAGAGCCTAGTGAGGGGGAAGGTGAAGGTGGGGGAGGCAGGGCTGGTGACCACAGGGGGCGCTGAAGAGAGACCGCTGGACACGACGGAGGAGGCCGGGACGTGGCGCGCCTTCAGGTCTGCACTCGGGCTGGTCGGCTCATCTGCGGGTCAGGAGTCCAATGGGAAGGAAGGAGGAGGAGAGGCGAAGCATAGAAAGGGAACAGGGTTAGAGAATGAAAAGGTGTAAAGGGAAAAGCAGGATGAGTTTAGAGGAAGTTATAGAAACAAGGGAAAGGTAAGGAACCAAAGGGTTGTCGTTAAGAATGAGGTCAATGCATTGTTGTACCTGTGCGTTAGACAACTTCTGAGAGGGGTTTTAAGGGGAATCCTAACCGTTCATGTTTTGTCCAAATGTTATCCCAGATGGTTATTTGATAGTTTTCATATAATCACAAACCCAGCACATCAATCTTATGTCAGAGAGCCCTTTCTACTGGCCAACATCCTGCATATGTTTTTTGATCACTTCAAAATAATTAGACCATAGATGAAATGAACTGACAAAGCAGATGCGGAACTTTGTGGCTGTTTTAGTGTCATGTGGATTGGTCCAGGAATTACAGAGAAATTAGCACTAAACAAGGACTAGAAGAATTTTGACATAGTTACCAGGAAATTTCTTTCAGCTGCCTTCCACAACAATTTTAAACTATAGACTCTTTAGAATTGTGTGATGTCACAAGAATGTAACCACAACAACCAGCCCGACCGTTTTCATGTAGAAAATCATTATGGAATCATTATGAATAACTCAAACTTGGTTCAGTGACTGTGTTTACAAAGAAGTAAAAACAACCTTCTTGTGTGCCAATTGAGGTTTGAGAAACTAGAGTGAACCGTTGCTACTGAAAATTGTAAATTGAATTGTGAAGGCAAACAAAAAAATGCACACATTTCATTGAATTTTGATTGAAAAAAATAATACTTTTACCAACTTGTAGCCTTATAGAAAAACAAGGCAAAAAATAATACTTTTGTCTACTACTGCATTTTCTGGATGCGTGTAGTCTTATTGATGATTGATTGAAAGCCATTTATCTGTACGTTGAATAGGGAAAAGTACACATTTATTGATCAAGATGAGGTAGATGATTTTTTAAAACATATTACTCATCCCTCACTCCACTTTTTCTTTCACATTCTGACAAAAGCATATTTAATTGGAATTGTCTAGTTGTAAAGGGTATAGATCTATTCTCCATCTGACAAAGGACATCGTAATTGACAGCCTGCTACTGCAAACAGTCCAGCACACACACCATTTCAAACGCAGAACAAAAGGGAAAATCACGAAGCACAGTGTTACATCTGAAATTAAAAAACCTCTTTGTGACAGCAACACATTTACATGGCACGACAAAGTGAACGACAACTGGAGAAGTCCATATTGTCATTTTCGTATCAACCAATAGGATTTGTGTGCATTTTTTTATGTGTCCCAACATGGAACCTCTGTTTTACTGAAAAATATTTTTGTTTTTCTTTCTGATCTAAAATATAAAATACTGCTGTAAAATGTAACTGAATAAAAACTCTAAACATTGCTACCTTTTCTCTAACACAAAAGGTGATAAGATATGCAGACCAAGTACCTGTGTTTCCTGCTGCCATAGAAAGTGCTAATGAGAGAACTAGTCGACTAGTGTGAAGTTTCAGTTCTACATGTATTAGGACACGATTTTGATTTATTTTGTATCATATTTGGCCTCGCACTAAAGCAAAAATATCTTATGTTAAGCAATAATAAAGGTGTTTGGAAAAATCGATGTGTTTGCTTCATCTATGACCTTTTCAAACCAAGTACATGTGCAGTAAACTGAAGTCTGTCAGATTTTAAGAGCTGTTACCGCTATAAAGTTTTGTTTGGAGACAGGAGGATATGAAACCGAACACTTCCGGACTCAAGAGGACTGCACATGGACGGGTGTTTTTTTAAATTTAATTTTATTTTGCATGTCTGGCAGTTTGCACAGAAACCACCAGAGGGCAGCACAAAAACAATACATTGCTGAGATCCTTGGTGGATGGTTTGGTTACCACGTGTTTAATCCATGTATATTGAGAATGAGGAGTTGACGTCACGGCACAGAGTCCCCCCTCCCCATCCCCCCTTTGCCGACATATTGGCTGCGCACCGGTGGCGGCAGTACAGTTTGTTTACGTGTGTTGTGAACGCGGTAGTAGCGGAGGTTCTTGCTATTCCGCACTGTTTTATCATGCCTGGAAATAACTGCTGCGTTAAAAACTGCTCCAATACCTCCCAGGATGGATATGGAAAACCTAGTAACAACGGGATACAGTTTTTTAGGTTACCGAAATGGAAAAAGCATCAAGGGGAGCAATTCTCTGACCTGACAAGGAGACGTCGGATTGCTTGGTTGGCTGCAATTAGAAGAAAGGACCTTACTTTCGATCACACACCCCTGTCGACGAGAGTGTGTTCTCTGCATTTTCACTCTGGTACGTTCTCTAAAAATGTATTTATGTAGTTGTCTCTTAAAGCTAGGAAGTGTAGGTTAGCATATGTTATTATGGTTTCTGTAGTGCCTTTGTCTCTGTGTCTTTGTTACCCTCTCAGGCTGTTTCTTACTTAGCACGTGTTCTGCGAGGTCTTTGCCAGTGTAAAGCATAGATTACATAGATTGTACACATAATCTAATTATTCTGTTGTACATAAACCTTCATATGACATTATGAGGTGACCTAAAAAGTACTTGAGATGCTGTTCATGACATAGTTGCCAGTTTAAAGCATTGATTACATAGATTGTGCAAATTATTATATTAATTATATGTTGTTATTATTCTCGTGTAGGTAAACCAGCATATGAGATGTTGGAGAACCACCCTGACTGGACACCATCCCTGTTGTTAGGCCACAATGATGTACAAAAAACAGATGAAGCGAGATATCAGCGGCAAGTAAGGCGCAGGTCCCTGCCACTGGAGCGGCAGCCACCTCCAGCCCAACACCAGCCGCAGGCGCCGCCGCCGCCAGCCCTAGACCAGCCGCCAGCTGACCCGGACATGGAATGTGGACTCTGCACATCTAGACGAGATGTTATCAACAATCTTCTTGAAGAAAACAGACAGCTGAAGCGTGAGCTTGATACGTACCGGATGAATGAGAACTTTCTGAGTGGTGATGATAACACAGTGAAGTATTACACGGGGCTTCCAAACTTTGCATTGTTCCAGACACTTCTACTCTACCTAACTCCAGATCTGCCTCAAGGTAGAATGAAGAAGCTCTCACCCTTCCAGCTTGTCCTATTGACTTTAATGCGCCTCAGACTGGACCTTCCAATACAGCACCTCAGCCATCTGTTTAGAGTACATAGGACAACAGTCGCCGATGCCTTTCACCATACCCTTGGTGTGATGTACGCACAGCTGTGTCCATTGGTGCACTGGCCAAGTAGGGAATGCTTATTGACCAGTATGCCACACCAGTTTGTGGAGTCATTTGGGAACAATGTGGCTGCCATTGTGGACTGCTTCGAGGTGTTCATCGAGAAACCTTCCAATGTACTAGCAAGGGCACAGACTTTTTCTCAATACAAACACGCATACACTATGAAATACCTAATCGTGATCACGCCCCAGGGTATTATTTCCTTCATATCGAACGGGTGGGGTGGGCGCACAAGCGACAAGCATATAACCGAGCAAAGTGGTTTCCTGAACAAGCTGTTACCAGGTGACATTGTGCTGGCAGATAGAGGCTTTAATATAAGAGAAAATGTGGGCATGATGTGTGCTGAAGTGAAAATACCTACATTCACCAGGGGTCGTGCTCAGCTTGAGGCGAAAGATGTGGAGGAGACTAGGGCCATAGCACATCTCAGAATTCACGTGGAGAGGGTGATCGGTGTTGTGCGCAACAAATTCAAATTCTTACACTCAACTGTACCTGTGCACATGCTTGTCAAATGTGAGGGTGAAAACCTAATGCCTTTGGATAAGATTGTCATTGTTTGCTGTGCCTTAACGAACATGTGCAAAAGTGTTGTTTGAGTACCTTATTCTTTACTGTATCTTTTATTTTTAAATAAATGCATGAAACAACTTGATATGGTTTACCAATATTTATTGAGAAATGAATATTTTTTTTGTTACAAACGTGTGCAGTCAAAGTACTGTTTCCAGCATGTAAACATGCCCAACATAGGTAAAAATGATAATAAGAGTCATACTTTTCTTAGTGCAAAGGGACACAAAACACTGCTAAACAACAGTGTGCATTCAAAGTACTGTTTCCAGCATGTAAACATGCACAGCATAGGCAAAAATGATCATAAGAGTCATACTTTTCTTAGTGCAAAGGGACACAAAACACTGCAAAACAACGTGTTCCTGTACGGTCCCTTCTCTTTCGCCTTATCTCTAAGCATTGTTTTACTGTCTTCCTTTCCCTTGTTGTATCAGTAGATCCGTCTCTGTCTCGCCGAAAACGTAAATGCGTATAATTTAAAGTGCTCTGGAATATGAGGAGCGCGTGAAATTCTGGGGGCGTGCCCCCGTTGCGCAGCCAATATGTCCGACAGGCTCAGAGCCCCCCCCAAATCACCCCAACTCGGCACGTGACTCCTCATTCTCAATAGTTTAAAAGGGCTATTTGCATACATGTTTATTCTATTATATCAACCTTTTGCGCTAATATTTATAAGTTCAGAACTGCAAGTTGTGATAAGATAAGATAAGGATATGAGAACAAAATGAAACAAAATTGTGTCTTGTCAGTGTGTATAATATACTGTATAATAAGTAACATTGGAAGAAGTAGATGCAGGAGCGAAACAAACTCAAGTAACTATAATAACTCGCATAAGGAAGTAAAAAAATTAGTTGAAAATGTACCAACCACTCAATTACAAACTGAAATATTGTTACTACTACTATAGAGTGGGGGTAATATGGTGTAATAATACTAAATACATTTTAAGAGCAATCAATGCGTTTTTCGGTATTTAATTAAGTCAGAGTCTCATATGTCCATAATGATTCGTGGTTGCGTTGGACTAACAGCATAGAATGGCACTTTCAACTTGCACATAAGTTTCCTTATTGACCACTTCCACATTTGTGCCATTTCCTGTTTAGTTTTAGAAATTGCATAAATGACACAAGAACTCTGGCTCCCTCATCTGATACAAATATGTAATCACAGTTCACAAATAACTACAAAAAATGCAACAACTGAAGCTTAAAAGTGTTAATTCAATCAAAACCAATTGTCTTTGTTGCTGCTGTGTCTATGGACGTTTTATCCTGTCACTTTTTATACTGAGCTCTGCAGACTGGGAGCTGCCACCGCTCTGAGGATGTCCCTTTGACCCAGTGGTCCAGTTACGCGGCCAAGAACAATTATCCTCTTGTCAAATGTCCCTATTATTCATATGCAGTTTCTGGCGGCTAAAAAAGATGCTCTCGTGAAATTCCCTGAAATAATTTGCCCGCATCAAAGTATTGAAATTATGAATGATTTTTGATGTAACACAATTTGTTTATCTTTAGGACTTTTTCCAACTTAAAAATACGTCATACTTAGCTTGAATTAGTAACTATTATAATGAAACCATTCGGCCAGTAATATTTATCTATTTATTTTGCAGCACAATATTTTTGGTTTTTCATTTTCATTTGCAAAAACAGATCAATTTTACTTGCAATATCAATGCAATATCAATTGTTGATGGCTGAATATGTCACTTATCTGACTAAAAAGTGCAACATTTCCCTGTTCATCAAGTTAATCTGAAGGCTGTTAATGATAAAAAATCATTTTAAAATGGTTGATGTTATACAATCTAAGGTCTGAAATAAAAAGTATATTCTATAATCTTTCTCTTATTCTCCTCAACCCGGAAAGTGTCTTCACATATAGCAGCCACAAACAGAGGGAAAGTCAGACCAGAGAGACCAGTGCTCCATCCGGCTCACAGGACAATAGTGGCCATTGAAGCCATGAGCCAAGTCTCCGGCTGTTCTCCACAAGAAACATGCCACAAAAAACTAATTTACAGCCGCAGCTTCGAGTGGCTGAAAATGGACTTCCAAATTAGGGCTATTTGTATGCAACAACTAGGAAAATAAAACAACAAAATAACACACCTTGATCTAGTGAGTTGAGAAATGGCCGTTCATCCAGACCGGTAACCTGCTAACTACTCTCCATGGAGAAACACGACTAAAACATAACATTTTGATTCACTTAGGAGTAGTAGTGGTAGTAGCAGTGGGAGTACTAGTAGTGGTAGTAGTGGTGGTAGTGGTAGTAGTTTTTATGTACCAAATGTCACACAATCTGTTCAAGGACTTCATGTGAATTGCTTTTGACAGCGGTATTAGTAATGTATTCATATTTTATATCCTATTTAAATATTCAAAACTGCAGCTAAATAACTTAAGCATACAGATTGGATTTATATTTAGGGACAACTATTCCACCCACCTTAAGAGCAGCACTGGTCAAAAGAAGTAGCAGTAGTTATAATGAGAAAAATCAATACTGGTAGTAGTAGCAACAGTAGCATAGTAGTATTAGCAGCGTAGAACTTGTAGTGGTAATGGCAGCAGTAGTAGTAGCAGCAGCAGCACTGTAGCAGTAGTAGAGGAAGCGTATAGTACTTTTCTGGAGAATTTCAAAGTAGAATTTCATTATCTTGATTCTCAAGATAAAAATAGAGAAACCAAAAAAAGCAGAGTACAGTCTGTGGGGAGCGATGGCCCTAGTTTCAGTGTGGAGCCATTAAACGTGTCCCGGCCTGTAGCACTACCTGGTTTCGCAGAAATGAGGTGAAGGCAGGAATGCAGCCGAACACACTCCACAAATGGTGTACAGCCAATAGAAAGAGATTTGCTATGGATTTAATGACTATATGTTTGGGTTTTCTCGTGACAGTGGTGTTAGATTAATAGCTGTAGCAGTAGTAGTAGCATCGGTTTGCTCTCTTTTTACAAGCGAGACTGAATATATATAGAACGTTATCTACAGTATACTTTAATGACTTTCATTACGTAGTAGACATATTAGAAGTAAGAGTAATAGTAATATAGGTAGTTGTAGCAAGACTGTACAGAAAGCAATCTACAATATACTTTTTAGGGCAGTCATGACAGATTAACTTAAGTGATATAAATATTAGAGGAGTTGTAGCAATATAATAAATAGTAGTTGCTACTAATTAATATTTCACAAGTATGTTGGTAGCAATAGTAGTTGCAGTCGAATATCATTGCACTACTGTACATTTACAAGAAAAACTACACAGACATGAAGAGATTGTGTTGCTTTTAGTCTATAAAGTCATGCTCCATTATTGTAGAAGCTATACCAAATATTGCATAGCTAATTGACCACTATCTTATAAACATGATTATCATTTTATTTAGTTGCCTCATATTAATTAAGACATATTTCTCTCTTTTGACCATGTTACAGTGAAAACAGCCCAGGAGTTGTTTTTAGATCCATCCACGCTAATATCATGAACATGTAACTCCTTAGACACTCCTTGTGTCTAAGAGCTGCTGTCTCAGTACTGTAGAAGTGTCATAGTGGTACAATGACATCATACTACTACAAAACTCAAAAGTATTGCCCATAAATATATTTTGGGAGCTGATCATTTTGAAAACATGAAAAAGCAAATCCAATTCTACTCCTCCTTCTAGTGGTTGCATAGGGATAGAGCAGGTCAATAGCATTATTTACATTGTTATACTTACTATATTTTCTACTGAATGTATTATGTCACATTGAAAAACAATAAATGAAAGGGTAAATAGTCTCAACATTAATTCAATGGAGAACAACATTGGTATAATTTTGTCTTTGTGCAAGACCTGAAAAGTAATTGGTCAGTCCTTACTCAGCTGATTTGAATCTGTTAAGCGTTTTGTATTTTGACTCCTCAGGCAGTGACCGTGGATGCGAGGGCACGGCGCTGGGTAAATTTGCGTACGGTTTGGCCTGAAGGCTGCTGTCATTGAACTTTAGCTAGAGACAAAAATGAAGAGCCCCCTTCTCCTTTTCAAGCGGTTACAAGCCGTGACATGATCTAAACAACGTGCCCCTGTCACTAACACAAAGGCCATGACTGTACAACGCACCAAAACAAGTCGACCATATTTGAAGTTATAATGACTTACTCAAGCTTAAGTAATTCTGTCCCTGGGCCAAAATGCAGCTCATAATAGATTTATATGTCCCCAAGCCTTCGGGAGTATTTATGCCCAGTCACCTCAAATTTATCACTCACATAAAACATTTTTGGGGCAAATAAAAAAAAAAACTAAAAAAAACAGATTTTTGGTTGTGCATTGAGGCTGATAAAAAAACTCACATTGGTTTTCATTTAAATGTGTTTTCTCCCCTGCACACCTGTAAGAGCACCTGCATTGTCTAATCCAATAAAAATGAGAACTAAAGTTTTCAATTTCCATGACCATATTCTCTATAATTTATTTTAAAAAAAGCAAGGCATCAGAAATAGCGCATGATTACATGATTCAGTGTTCCATTAAAGCGAGACAATGGGAGGTTCCAGTATTTCCCAAGCAAACAGCGAACGCCCACTTCATCACATGTCAATGAAAGAGCAGTGAATAATGGGTCAAGAGACTGAAGCCACAGTTATAAGACAGGAAAATATTTAAAACATAAAACATTTTCTCTGTACTATTTTTCACTTTTTTCATCAGATAGTTTAACCTTACTTTAAAGTGTATATTGACTAATATCACATAGTACTGCACCTCTGGGTCACTGTAAAAAATTGTTAACTAGCACAGCTACACTCAATGATAATATTACTGTGTGTTTGAAATGACTGAGACTCACCTATGAACGGTATAGAGGCCAGAGAGTCGTCCTCGATGGGCAGCGGTGCCAGGCTGCCGTTGGGTTTGCGTGGAGCGACCTTCTCAGCTGAAAGTGCGAGGTCCTGGTCGGGGGAGAAGAGCGAGGGCTCGAGTCCGTCTATGGGAAGAGCGTAGTGGGCCTGTCTCATGCACTGAGCGTTCCTTCTGCCCGTCGGGGGTTTCTGCCTCAAAACCACCTCCTGCGTTTGGGCCGACACTGCCTCCTCCACCGCCACGCGCTCCCTGTCGTGGTTGGTGGGGCGATAAGAGCGGTCCCGGGACTCTGAGGAGCTGGAGGAGAGCGGAGAGGAGGCTGAGGACACCAGGGGGGCAGGTGTGGCCTCTGGGGGGCTCGTCGTGTTCCAGTTCAAGTGTGGGCCAGAGTACGATGGGTCCCTGAAGGAGTGCGCCTGCATGATGCGGCCAGTCTTTCTGTAGAAGGAGGGGCTGTAGCTGCGGTAACCCACCGGCTGGTCGCCCATGCTCTGAGTATGGGGCAGGCGCCGGCTCTGAGGCACGGCCTGCTGCTGGGGGGGCAGGGGGGGCTGGTGTGTGGGTGTGGGGTGTTTGGGGTGAGCGTGTCTGGAGGCCGCAGGGGCCTGAGGCGGGACATGGTGCCCGGTTTGACGCGAGTACAGGTCGTTCCTGGGGGGAGGCTGTGGGGGTCTGTCAAAGCGAGGGGAGACCAGGACGGTGGTGCGGTCCAGCATCTCCATAGAGCGCCCCCGGTGGTCGTACTGAGCCAGCAGGTTCTCAGAGCGCGTCCGTGTGTAGTTGGAGGAAGGCCCCCGCCCCGGTCCTGACTCATAGTCCCCGTAGGACCAGTAGGGGTCTCCCTGAGGTCCGGGTCCAGACTGCTGCACCAGGAACAGTGTGTCCTGGGACGCGCTGTGGGGCCAGCCCCCCGGCCGCTGCTGTCTCTTGTAGTCACTGAGCCGGTCCTGAGAGTAGCTGCGCTGTCGGCTCTGTGTGCGACCAGAGCGCTCAGGCCTCTGGCTGTAGTACCAGTCGGAGAGCGCCTGTTGCGTGCGCTCAGGGCCAAGGTGGGGGGGTGGAGGGCTGGTCCAGGCCGAGCTGGACCCCCTGGGCTGTGACGAGGTGTGGTTTGGGTAGTGCACCTGCAGAGGACTGGACAGAGGACCAGAGGAGGAGGAAGAAGAGAAGGACCGGCCTCTGGTCTGGCCCTGAGGCTGCTGATTGGTCATGCCGTACTGGATCTCCTCTGTGCGGTGAGCGGGGCTGCTGTGACCCACTCCCCCCGGGTCTCCGGGACGCCCCCCCTGCCAGCTGGCGGGGCTGCCCACTGCAGAGCGGTTATCGAGAGGTGAAGAGGGTCCAGAGGAGCCGGGCAAGCGAGTCCAGTTATCCAGCTGGTTCTGGCCCATAGACCCAGGCGACGGCGTCCCCACTGGAGGCTGGGTCTTGGCACGAGTGTAGGAGAGGGGAGGAGGGGGCGGGAGGTGCTCCGCTCCCCCGGAGTACGGCTCGTTGCCTGTCAGGTAGGCATCTTGGGAGTACGCCTGGGAGGAGAGGTTAAGAAAAGGTGCGAGTGTTACACAAAATACACATAAGATCAAAATAAATCTTTGTATCAACAAAGTTGACAGCAACATAAACCATAAGCTGAGACCATATGACAAGGCTGCACATTACACAACAACACGTTTAAGTGGAACAGACTAAAACCCTATTACCACAGTGTGTCCCTTAGGGCCTCTGTTCTAAGAACAAACACCAGCAACAAGCAGCCAGCATTCAGCTGCATGTACTCACAACATTAGACTGGAGAGAACGCATTAACCTTCAAGACTACTCAATGAAAACAACCATCAATGAAAGTCTATTATCTTCTTATCATTTGATTGCATTGGACTCACAAACATTTACAAATCTCATCACAAATCCATGAAAAATGCACTTGAAAGACTTCTTTAGTCTCTCCAAGTCCGACGCAGAAATAAAAACAAAAAGAACAGATTGTAGAGAGTCTGTCTCACTGTCTCAGGACAAGGCACATGCTTCCTCACCAACTCGTTCTTTGTCCTTGTTTGTTCAATGCTCCTTTTTCCTTAATTTCTTTTTGCGGTGCCTTTTTCCCAGGACTTTATCTGCTGCTCGTCTTGTTTTGTCCTGCCTCAGATCTTTCCAAACTCTCTCTCTCCTCCCTGAGCCTCACTCCACCCTGTGGGAGTGTGCAGCGCTGTGATGTCATGTGAGGAATGCAGCACATACAGGCACAAGGGGAGGAGCGCTGGGACTCAAATCGGTTTATACTTGTATCTCACAATTATGAGTCCAAAATCTATAACATGTTCATTATTAGAAAACCCATAAGTCAGTTTTTAATAGTAATTCAAATAAGTGGCAAGGCTTATGTTGGAATGGAGGTAGAGGGGACGGTGCATGTCTGTTCATGTGAGTGACGTTTTTTGGAGCGTCAAAAATGTACGGCAGAAGGAGACACTTTTTCAAAATGGAGGCGTTGACGATCAAGCCACCAGCAGCTTTTAATGAACGCATGTTGTAATGTAAACACAAAGGAGAGAGGCCTGAGTCATGGCTGAGAAATCTCTGAGATTCTTTGACAGTGAATCCTGTTTCAAACACTGCCCAATGCACTAAGCTACATTTTACCCACAGTTGACAACAGTGATTATGTAAAGGAGGAGTATGCAGACAGAAAGGGGCCTGCAATGAAAGACTATCAACCAATTCATTTATGTTTTAATTAGTGCTGTCCAACGATTAAAATATTTAATCGCGATTAATCGCATGAATTTCATAGTTAACTCGCGATTAATCGCAAATTAGTCACACATTTGCGTGCTGTGTGCAATTGCTTTTTTTATTGAAAACAATGTGTAGTGTTATATTACACACTAACATTTGATGCAAAATCATCAATAAATGGATGACAAAATAAATAATTGGTAACAAAAAGCCCCTTCAATGTGTGTGTGTGGGTGTGTGTGTGTATGTGTGGGTATAGACCATAGACTGTATAGAAACATCATGGTGTCATTATGATGATGATAAACAATCTGTAAATATTTTGTAAATTTGTTCATGTAAATACTCTATGCTGTTTCTCTGTTTACTTTCGGTATATCTATGACTGTATACTGTTTGCTTGTATTGCCTTTTTTATTAACCCCTCCCCCCATCTCCCACTTCATGCCAATTTTAGCCTTTTGTGATCTAACTTTGAAACTATCCAGACTGGTTAATAGTTGTGCTTGCTGCTGTAGCCTACAATTTGAAAGCTTGTCACAACTTTCATGGAGTGATGTGTTGTTTGCTCAAGAGGCTGAATGAAAGATATTTCTTCAAACTTCTACACATTGAAAACAGTTTTAACAACTTACCAACTGCAGTACGTCTTCATCTTTGGGCATAATGGAAAGCTCCAGGACACACTCGCTGCAGAGGAGGAAGGATGTTATAAATCGATAGTGTACATTAAACTGGAAAATCTATGACCTATGAACACGTGTCGTACAGTGCCTTCACACAATTGTTAAATGTTTTGTGCTCGTCTTCTGCATTGTCTTCCCAGTAGTGTTGGCTCACTCATCATAATTTTTGTTTAGTATATATATGTGTATAAAATAAGAGCTGCACCCAGTACACTTAGCACCAGCCCCTCACTGATCCTCCTGCAGGTGGTGAGTCCACAGGGGGAGTGGGAGTCGTGAAGTAGGTCTTATGGTGGGCTTGAACCCACGACCTTCAGGCCCAAAGGCCAATGCGCTACCAACTGAGCTACTGTCGCCCCGTAGTTCAGATCCAATAAATGAATTTATTTTAATATGCATTTGCATGTGTTAGTGATCATGGCTTACTAACAAATTATTCAACAATTGTGGCATTTCATAACTTTATTTTCATTCATGTTGCGATTGTCTGAGCTCGTCTCTAATTTGGGGCGACTTTTGTTTCGTGTCACTTGTTTAAAATTCTCAAATACAGTAATATAACCACACAGTAGTCAGCGCCTTGTACCTGTTCTGAATTAGAGCGATCACTTGTGAGTATGTTTTGCCAAGAATACTCTCCCCATTCACCTTGACCAGCCGGTCCCCTGAAAACCCAAGAAAAAAGTTAAAACATACTTAAAATCACGAGAGACATAACTATAAAAGTGAAAAGGAATGTGTCATAGGGCACATGGCTTGGTAGGTAAATTCATAGCAATATTAAATCTGTTTTGTAAAATTGTAGGATCACCCCCTCCCTTGTTTTCCAGAGCAACCACAGACCTTAAACAAGAAGCAGGTGAATTTTATTGTCGTTGAATGAGAGCAATGACTATCTTATATCTTTCTTGTGCTGACTTTCAAACAGGCAGTAACAATGTCATCGGTTCAGTACCTGGGTGTAAGAAAAGGGTGTGGTAAACAAAACAAAAAAGCACTTCAAATAAACAAATTCGGCTGCGGCCATGTAACCACATGTTGTTGACTTCATAATATAATATTACTTGAGTTGACTATACCAGATATATTGGAAGTATGCACGCTTGTTTTCCCTCATCTGACATACTTTAGTTCTACAAGACGACTTCTACATCTCATTGCAGACAAAGCTCTGACATATTTGCCTAATATTTGTATAACATGTGACCAGCATTTGGCAGCCGATCCTGGCTACCTCTGTCTAAATACTACATCAAATATTTAACTTTTCTGTGCGATAGTAATCAAACGATTTCGGTCAGCCTCCGTTTCATAGGCATTAACATCTACAATTGTTCCATTTTTGTTAGAGTTGGTTAATGCTGCCACTTTACCTGTGCAGAGGCCTGCCTGGTGCGCTGGACCCTTCTCTCTCACGTTTTTAACAAAGATGGTGTCCATGGGCTCCAGCCGGCCCTTCTGGAAGCCTGAACACAAACGTTAAACACTAAGTTATGGAGCATATTAAGACAGCAGTGATGCTTTTTATCTAGCAAATAAAAATAAACTGAGAACACCCAAGACTCGAAAATACATCTCTAAATGATCAGGGGACATGATTGTTTTACTCTGTAGCATCTAAGGCTGTAACTAGTAGTATCCAGTCGACTAATTGTGTCTATTTTCCCCCTCATTTTCAGCCGTGCAGCTGTCTGAGCAGAGAAGCCTACACTTCCTTATCCAAGCTCCTCCAGGCTCCCTTTCGGTCATTAGCTCATGACCATAGGTGAGGGTGAGAAAGTAGATTGACCAACTAATATGTATCAGTCCACCAAAAGCATGATAAGATGTAACATCCAAAACCAAAAGTTAATTTAATCAGGATTATGTTTCAAGTCAGTAGTTGAAACTTTATGATGGCACAAATCTAGGCTATATATAAGTACCATTTAACGCACAGACATGTCAAGTACATGACATTCCTTAAAAGTTTGAAACTACTGATGTAATGCTGTTTATTGTCCAGTAGAGGGCAGACAGGTGCCGCAGAACTGAGCTGCTTAGAGATCCACTTCATGACATCACCCAGTGCAATCCCTGTGTCACTGCTTTTCAATTATAACTATGATTAAAGACAAACTTACCCTTTTCATTACTGTTGCCGTTTTCCTCGTCCTGAAATGAAAAAAAAAAATAAGACACAATTATTGCTAAAGTCTGGCCTTAAATGTATCAACAATGACAACGAGCCCCAAAGTTGTATAGTGATTGTACGGAATTAAATTAAATTGTGCGACCGGTGATGAAAAGTGAACAGTGAAAATCTAAAATGTGGAATGAGCATCAACCCTATTCCACAAGGATTGGAATTTCATTTCATTATTAGACAAGATAATTCAATTGAATATATTTTTGTTTAGCCCTAAATCACAACACTAACTATCTCAGAGAAATTTTAAAATAATCAACAGTTCAAACACAAAAAAATGCAAGGATAAAAACACATGTCCTGGATCATCACCACTGTCCTTAGACCCTCCTGATAAGCTTTACTTGGGCAGATTTCATTAAAATGTATTACAAACAATTTATGCACCATACAAACACACAAGCCTCACATTTTCTGCAATATTAGAAAAACCACCATGAGATAATGTCGCCAACTTCACACAGTCTTTTGGTGACATCACATGGACATTTGTATCACCTACTGATGGGGAGAGTTTACAAGCTGCTTCGAATGCCTGCCCGTCTTTGGCATCTCACACCACGCGCACAAGACAAACCTGCTTGTTTTATGAGCTCACAATGTTTGGCTGGAGCTAAGAGACACATCGTGAAATTCAGGCGACTTCATGCAACTAATGACAATCGGTAATAGTGTGAAAAGTGCCATTAGAGTGTAAAAGGGAGGTTACATCAAAATTACATTCAATCAAGTTAGTTTTGTTTTTGATTCAGGTTTTTTTTGTATGCTTTCGAATTTGCTTTTCTCAAGTAGATTCATTGCGGTTTTTTTAATTATTATTTTGGTTTAATGCTTTCCCTTTTACTTACACAATACAGTATAAGCAGCAGTAAGTAATGAGTGTGCCTTGTCAATAGTAAGCATGGATGGAGATTGAACTCAAGACTCTCAGGTTACTGCAATAAACATGATGACTACATGATGAAACAATAAATTATACATTCATTTTAAGTTTCTGGGTCATATTTAAAATGCCATGGTTGTAGGACTTAATTAGTGGTAGTTCACGACATGGCACTATGATTTTATACCAACAACGGCTATATTATTATACAAAGTAAACAATGCAAACAGGCCCAACCAGTATAGGCCTGAATGAGAGCCGACAAGGTATAAACCAGGACTAACCATGAATTTACCAAGTGCTGGACCTCCAACCGAAAACAGGAAAAAGAAATCTATCAATGAGCAGTAATGAAGAATACTAACTGAATGTTATGGCTAAAAAAATTAAAAAATGTTATGGCTAAAATCACACTAAATACGCTAAGTTGAACTTAAAGCTGAAGTACCTACAAACCCTTCAAACAATAAGGGAATTTAACAATACAATAGAATCCATCTAACTATCTCCTTGCTCTCAGTTCTATCACATGTTTTTCACATGTATGTACAGTATTTTTGGCCTCTGTCATATCTTGAGATCAGTTTTTTCAGACAGAAAATTTAAAGAGAGGACTGCCCTCACTCAGCCAATCAGCTCTCAGCCCAAAGCATCAGATAGGGCTTTCTTACAAGTATGCAAAATACTAATATATTATATATATCTAATACAGATGAGGACAGCAAGTTGTGGTCTAATTTGTTCACAGCATATTAATTGAAGACTTTTTTTTGTTGGGACGAATTGCATGATATTTATGGGGGTGGAAAGTTACTCATGGACATACTAAATAGACTATAATTTTTGTAATTTTCTCCTAACTCAAATTAGACGTATGGCTGTGGCTAATGCAATCTTAAATATGTCTCAGACACTAAAATGTACTCCCTGAAATAATCAACCACACTTTATATTTGCACTTAACAGCATGTGGTCCGTCTACAAGCACAAAACTCCAGCACTGCAGTGAGCTGAGTGGACAGTTTGGGGTTAGCAGAGTGGTGGCCTGACTGCTGCCGGGCTTTAGGCAGAGCTGAGTGGGCTAATTCCTGGATCCAGACACAATGGTGGGGGTTTAGAGGCAGAGAAAGACAGGCAGACGACCCCGCGACAGAGCCACGAGCCGGGGACACTCCACCACAGCGGATAACCCCCCATCACCAGTAACAGTGAAGGAGATAGTTAGGAAAGTGGGACAAAGTATAGTGACTAGAGGAGTAATGGAAGCAATATAGAAGCGAGTTTGGTTTATGAGCTGCTATTAAAATCATTTTGCACATTGTTTGTCATCTATGAATACTGCCTTTAAGCATTCCCATTTGGAACAAAGTTTAAAATATAAATACCTAATTCAAACCTACAAAATCTTTGAGGAAGAATGCTTAGCCAATACAAGAAACAAGCAAGGTGTGCAGTCTTCTCAAGGACAGCTCTGCGCTTTGACAATACCAAGAATGACAAAACCAAATTTGTACAAACGTAAAAGCACAATGTGGACACCATTCTGATTTCTGATTCACCACTTGCACAACACAATAATGCTTGTGCCACTGCCTCACAAATCAAACATTTTGATTTCTGAGTAAAGCTACTACTACTACTTTTGCAGTGTTCTTTATTGCTCCAACAACCTTGAACAAACAGTATATCATTCAAACATTTTACACTTATCTTATACCCGTATACCCTCCAAGATGCAAAGTATTATGGGCAATGTGCAAGAAAAAAAAAGTATAAAATATGTTAAAAGCCATACAGTAATTGTAAGATAAGATTCTGACATCCCTCTACAATATATTGATATAAATACAATGAAAAACTGTATCCACGTTTAAATATATAAAAATATATTGTGCAGGTTTTGAATAAATAGATAATCTTATCTAAATACCATATCAGACAGTTTTACTTACATTTCTTGTGTTTTTTTTAAATATACATACAGTACATACACAAACATAGTATATTTCTTAACACTGGTTAAGAAATTCCTCTAACTAAAGTGACATGTCATTCAAAGCCTCCCTTACCCATGCTGCAGAATTCAAAGTTTAGATTGTATAACACTAAACCTTGGAAGGCCATGCACATGTTGGCCTCTGATAATTAGCTTCTTGAAGGTAATTTGGGAGAGACTTGCTGATAAATGTCTTTGTGGCTCTCATTGTTCCCAAAACAGCATGTGACCCTGGAGCGGAGCAGCACCAAGGCCGGACCGGGACAGCTGCAGCGGACCTATTGTCCCGGGACCAGGCCTGTACCACGGGGGCTTCCTCCAAGCGGTACCAGCCAGAGACAACAGGCTCTATTCATGACACGTGTGGGTGAGTGCGCAGCTGCAGCGGAGAGGGCTGGTATGATATTCATAACAATAATAGGGCCCTTGTTTTAGTAGGCTCACCCCATCCCAACGCCCGAATGCCTCAATTTGAACATCTGGAGGGGAATAAGAAAGGGCCAGATCAATTTGTGCTTGAGACAGAACAAAAACAAGGTCATGGTAACACTTTGGAGAAGGTGGAACTGAGACGGGCTCGCCATTATCAGAAGTGAGAGGAAGGGGTCTATGTACGAAAAGAAAATTGTTTTGTTTGCTCCTTTAAATCAACTCAAGCATTAATGGTTATTGTTTAGTGTTTTGATTCATATTTTGTTAGCCTGGCCATAGCCATCCGTACACTCCGCTCAATCATCATTTCCCTGAATTTAAGGTCTGGGTCTGGTCCCCATGTTAGCGATTATAATTGGTTGAATTTTGACAGACACACCTTTAGATCAGCTTTTTAGACAGAAAAGTGATAGAGGACCCCCCTCAATTAGCCAATCAGCTCTCAGATATTCCACAAGAGGGAAAAATAGTGAAGAAAATGTGATGAGTACATTTTGAGTTTTTTTCTTAAATGTATGGTGAAACAGTCTAAAGGTGGAGCCCTGAAACTGTTATAGAGAAGAGATAAAAACTACTAAAACAAGAAAATAAATAACAAATTAAAGAAAAATCCTTAAGAAAAATTAAGATATAATGGTTTGGAAGATTGCTGTATCGAAAGTCTCCTAGTGTAGTGAGCACATGAATATCTTTACTTTTTTTTACTCAAGCAAAATGTTAACACTGGAAAATAACCTCGCAAGAACTCATTCCGTGTGGTTTTGAACGTCTTCAGACAATTCTCACCGTGAAGTTGTTGTGCAGAGCGGACTCCGGGGGGTAGACGATGAAGTGGCGCAGCGTGAAGCCGAAGCCCTGAGAATTCTTGTGGAGCAGCAGCGTCCTTGGACACCTCCAGGCCACGCCCCCGTCCCGCCCGGTCCGGGACCCCAGCACTGGCCGCGGGTTTTCACTGCCCGTGGAGAGGCCATCCCTCCGGCCTTTACCCTGGAGAGAGAGAGAGAGAGAACATAAATGTTGTGCAATAGACAATTATGTAAACAGATTTATTTAAATTTGGTCGTCAGCCTAATAGTCGGCAAAAAAGACAAATTCAACTACTAAATGGATAGTTGGGCTGTAACATACATCAAAACATTGTATTGGGATAATGGCAAGTGCAATATTGATATAGCAAAGATGTGAAATCATTTTATGTATAAATCCTGCGTGAATAAACGTTTCCTTTTGCTGCTAGAATGAGCCCTTTGGTCAAACAAAACACAACATGGTAGGAAATGCAAGCAATGCAGTTTCAACAATGTGCCTATAGATTTCTTTTGGGAAGGAAAATGTCTCAATATCTATCATACAACCAAGACTGGAGGTTCAAAAGACATGTTAAAATGCAAGACACCCAATAATGCACTATCCCTTAATACTTTAAGATTCACACCAGACACCTCTTAAATGTAACTGGAGACAAATCAGCTTTAAATTCCACCTGGATTTAAAACAATGGTAGTGGATACAACAGGGGGGTCCACCAGCAGGAAGGCCAAAGTTTAAATAGGAAAAGAGGATAATTGAGTGGATACAAAACGTGTAGCTCCCAGGACATTCCACTGACCCCAAAGTGAAGTAATGGCCCATTGACTAAAGGCGAGTATTTACTTAAGACTTAAACAAACTTAGTTCATCCACAAGGAAAATGACATAGACACTGCATAAAAACCTACAGCAACCTGAGGTATAGCCATTTAGAATGGACTAAAATATGCCTATAAAACGTTGTTTAGGTTTCAGAATTGAGAAACATGGACTGTTGCCATTGCAATAAAAGCTGAGGTATCTCACGTCTCTCCCCATAAATAATCCCAGTAGTTTGTCCTAACAGAAAAAAGTGTTTCAGTATTTATGATTTGCATAATGCCATTTGCACTGTGAATCAAAACAAGGCAATATTTTTTACTTCTACTTGGAAATTAAATTATTAATGTGCAGCTTCTACTCTCTTCTTCTTAAAAATCTCACAACAGGTTCTTGTCAAGTGCAGAATACCAAAGAGAACAAATAACTCAAAATTAGCGTAGAATCTGTCTAAAACTTTAAACACTCTATATTGATTACCCTAACCCTAACATCAAGCACAGTACATTTCACAGTTATAACCTTTTATCTTTCTTGGTGGTTTAAACAGGGCGAGCTCACTGTAGTTGCCAGGTACACGCGAGAACTATCACTCCCACGCCGCCTCTTCGACCCACATGTGTCACTCAGACTGGATCACCTGACCAAACAGCCTGGGACGTCCCAAAGGAGACGGAGGGGGGCAACTCTCCCACACCCAGAGCTGAGGTCACGTCTCCAGAGGGGCCAATCCACCGTAGCATGTTCTATTTGGATAAACTCAACGAACTGAAAGAACACGTCACTATACGAGTAGTGGGAAGGTTCATTAATCAAACGACTAAGTACAAAGCAAATAACGGCAAGCTGCAAGATTTGTAAAGGAAAAGCTATGGCTAGGCTATTAGACCCAAGTCGATCAATTGTTGCTTTAATTATTAATAATATTGGGGGAGAATTTAAGACGCAATACGCTATAATTCAAATCTACATTCTTGAAATTTTTGCAGTAATAAATTGATAATGGATCTTTTTATGGGCATCTGCTGTAGCTGTATCCCTCACTATGGCTGGTCTCTATTATATGAACCGCTTAAAGGAGTGGCTCTTGGCCCGAAAAAGGAGTTTTGGCTTTGGGCTTTTCATTTGTATGATGATTATATGTTTTGGTGTAATCAAGCTGCACAATACAAATTAGCAATGGTGTTTTTTACAATTCCACAGGGTTAATAAATCTATCAAACAAACAAGTGTGTGGACAAGAACAGTGGCTAAAAACATCCTTCCTTATTCCTTTCTCCCCCACATCCCAACAATTCCAAAAAGTCAAAAATGGGACTCCATATTGACCTTCACACGCAGGAAGCAGGAAGTACGATGGAGGAATTGAAGAACAAGGTCGAAGTAACAAGATGATTTTTTTTTATTAATAATTAACATCTATTCTACGCCTTTTCCTTTCACATCATTTTCTTTCGGAAATGCATGGAACAATATATTTACCTCCGGTCAATCAGTCTGCTTTGCCTCTCAACCTGTCAAGCCATTTAAATGCACTTTCTTATTCTGACATCTGCCACATTAACATTTTGCTATAATTTTTATAATATTAAAATTAATAAGGTATAATAATATAAAAGGTAATATTAACAGATACAGATTTTAGCTGAAATGTAGAGTTGTAATTAGGTATAGCTAATTTTCACTTATCTTGTGTTTTGTGCTCCTCATTCCTGTTGTAACCTGTGATGAAACACTGAAATCTCCCCCCAAATCTCCCCATTATGGGACAAATATAGAACCTTAAAACCTTCCATCTCCTCAGTCTCTCTGTGAACTGAACGATCAGAACTTGGTTTGGTCTTGCTATGACTGAGTGATGACATTTTTCACTTCATGTAGTTTTTACTACATCTAAATCAGGATTTATACAACACACACATTCTGATAATAATCCATGAATCTAAAAATGTTGATGTTTAGTCTAGCTGTCCACCCAATGCAGAGTCCTTAAGTCTTAAATACATGCTTTAGTGGCACGGAAGCGTATGTGACGACTCAATATGAACTATAAGCAAATTGGGGAGAAAATTGAAGCTTAAATTCTAGCTCAGCAACCGTGTGGCCTGGAACAAGTCCAAACACACGCTGTAAAAACAATAATAAATAACTCAATGGGGCAAAGATGGAGAGGAAGGAGGTAGGAAGTTGCAGCTGAGGAGGTAGGAAGTAGGACGTAAGGAGGAGTATCGGGACGAGGAGACTGCAGGCTCCAGCTCGCCGGTTTCGACCACATGGCCTCTCCCTCCCTCGCCGGGAATACCAACCCTGTGATTACCCAAAACACACAAGTCTGCATGGGTCCCACTGCAGCGCTGTGCCGGTCCATTGTAGGATAAAATAACTTGATCTGTGTTAAATGACCGATCAATTATATTAGTTTTAATCAGGCCTCTCGCAATAATTACTGTCTCACTCAAATAGTGTTATTGTTGGGTTCAAAATTATAATCTGTTTAGTATTTTTGGGACACGTTTTATTATTATTGTCTTGAAATATGATGAAATATGGAGTTGTTTAACCACATTTCTTTACACTAACAACATTAGTAAGGACACTATTCTACATTTTATTATTGTTTCTGTGGTAATATATTAAGCATCAAATGTGGTAAATGTGAAGATTAGTTTTAAAACCAGTTCACTACTCCTAATAAACTATTTCCTTCTGGGTGAAGTAATCCAGGAATCAGTAACAGTGATTTCAAAATGATCAATAACCGGCATAACTGTAAATGAAAAAAAATATTTTGTGATATATAATACCAATTCTCATCCTCACTATATGAAAAAAAAAATAAATAATAATAATAATAATATAATATGTTAATTAATCACACAAAAAAATCAGAATCTATATGAGGGGCAAGGGGTGATTGGCCGAGAGTGCGTTTTTTTTCTTTTTCACTTATCTTTCTGAAAAAAACTATCTGAATGGAGGTGATCCAAAGATGCATGTGAAAGTTAGGTACCCCAGCTTTAATATTCATTTTCCCTTTCCCAATGCATTGACAAAAAATCCTAAACTAAATTCTAAAATTCTAAACATACCTTACTGTAGCGTATGAGCCCAATTCTAAATAAAGCGAACTTCCAACTGTTCCACTGGATTCATATTATCATCATCACAGGATTAAAACAGAACATTAAAAAAGTAACCATTTATAATAACCATGTATTTCTCAAAACCTGCTAAATCTGGAGGAGTTGTCGTGTGGAGCTCCAAGCAGTCGGACATTGTTTAACCAACTTGACTCTTGGAAATTTTTTGCTGTGGTTTTAAGTCTAAACTTGACTTCCTATGCAGCTCAAGCGCCCGACGAGGGAGAACTGCTCATTGCTCTGTTCAGAATTGACTTTTTTCAACCAAATTTCCTCCACTGGGAACACAAACAGGAAAAGAATATTTAACAAATTAATTCATAGCTTAAATGCCAAATAACCAATAGACAAGGCCACACGATGCTTCCTGGAATTTAAAAAAGGAAAAATAAAGTGTATGTTTTGATAAGCAGCGTGCCTGAGGACATTTCCACTTCAGGGTTCAATTACAGAGCTATCATTATAAAGATCCTCTATAAATATACAAAATAAGCACGACTTGGAGAGGATAGGATATACCCAGTCAAGTGGTATTAAGATTAAAACAGATAAAGTGTGTCTGCGTTGTGCAATAATCCCCAAATCCTAGAATAATTACTGAATGAGGTTGGAAAGAATGTATTTTTATGTTATGAGTACAGCGAGTGTTGTGGGGCAGAAGTGCAACAGCCAATCGCGTCTCAAACACTCTCTCATCATGAGTGTTGACACAATATTCACATAGGAAAGTTAATTATCATATATTCAATTAAAATCATATTTGACAATAAGCTGCAATAAAATTCAGTTGGAGGGCAGGTGCCAACACAACTAATAGAAAGAAATGTGGAAATGTTTTCCCAGATCATTATTTGTTAGTAATTAGATTCACAAAGCCGCCACATTCTTATGTCTGATTGTCCTTTCTACTGGCCAACATCATGCTTGTTTTATGAATATTGTCACCACTTCTGGACTCCTTCATGAGAAAATAATTAGACCATAGTTGATATTTACAGATAAAGAAAAGGTCAAACTTAGCACTAAAATGGAAGTCTTTTGACGGTTATCAGGAAAGATGTTTCAGCAGCACAACTACTATGTTAAACTATAGGCTCTTTGGAATGTTGTGATGTCACATGAAAGGAACCAGAGCGAGGTACTGATACTTTGCAACTATATGATACTTACTCAAATGCAAATCTAGTTTCAATACTAAGTACTTATTACAAAAGAGCA